ACCAAGCCCCTTCTAGGGAGTGGGGATAGAGGGCACAGGGAAAGCATTATAATAGGTCAAAGCACCATTTGTACAATTAGAAGAATGGAAACAACAAAAATGTCCCTCAATGCTTAAATTAACGACAGTGAACGAAACATTGAAATACTGTTCAACTGCTGTGACCAAACACAGCCACGATGATAGTTCCCATCCCACATGTCCTTACAATGTGACTTTGACACTTCTCCCATGGAGACTTGGGGTCTATTGCCCACCACCCCTTGAAATTGGCCAGGCTTTAATGACTTTCATCCAACCAAGTGCAATAAAAGTGAAGCTATGTGGCTTTCGAGGCTAGATTGCAAAAGGCTGTACAGCATTCTCTTTATTCGCTGTAACACTGGCTCTTGAAGCCTTTAGCTGTCATTTAAGCACAGACTGCCCTGAGACCGCTGTGGTGTGAAGAAACCCAGGCTAGCCCACACATAGAGCCCACAAGGAGAGGTCCTGAGACTCCATGAAGACGTCCAGACGTCCTTCATTTGCTTCATCCCCATGCACTTTCTCCAATCTGGCCGCCATCTGACTATAGGTCCATAAGAGACCATCCAGTTCAGCTCTTACCAAATTCCTGATCCACAGCAACTGTATGATTTAACAAAACGATTATTATTTTAAGCCACAATAAGTGGCTTATTATTTTAAGCCACTAAGTTTTGAGCGATTGGTTACTCAGCAATCGACAGCCAGAAAGCATCTCTTGACATAAGGGAAAGGAAGCAAAAATAATATAAAAACAGGGAGGGGAACAAAACATAAGAGACTCTTAAATATGGAGAACAAACAGAGGGTTACTATTGGAGGGGCTTTGGGAGGGTGGGCTAAATGGGTAAGGGGCATTAAGGAATCTACTCCTGAAATCATTGTTGCACTATATCCTAACTAACTTGGATGTAAATTAAAAAAATAGAAAAGAAAAAAAAAAAGAAAGGATCTCTTGATGCACTGATACGGAATAGTCTTCAATGTATCGTATTAATTTCTAAAAAGTGCAAAATGTGTATATTGTAGGCCCCTTTTGTTTAAAGAGATTTGGGGGGCGCCTGGGTGGCGCAGTCGGTTAAGCGTCCGACTTCAGCCAGGTCACGATCTCGCGGTCCGTGAGTTTGAGCCCCGCGTCAGGCTCTGGGCTGATGGCTCAGAGCCTGGAGCCTGTTTCCGATTCTGCGTCTCCCTTTCTCTCTGCCCCTCCCCCGTTCATGCTCTGTCTCTCTCTGTCCCAAAAATAAATAAAAAACGTTGAAAAAAAAAGTAAAATAAAAAAAAAATAAAGAGATTTGGTCTTGAAAATGCATAGATCACTGGTTTGCCAACCCTCTGTGTGCATTAGAATCTCCTGGGATCCAAACATTGTTATCTTTTATTATTTTTTTATTTTTATTTTTTTAATATAATTTATTGTCCAATTGACTAACATACAGTGTATAAAGTGTGCTCTTGGTTTTTGGGATAGATTCCCATGGTTCATCCCTTACATAGAACACCCAGTGCTCATCCCCACAAGTGCCCTCCTCCATGCCCATCACCCATTTTCCCTTCTCCCCACCCCCATCCACCCTCAGTTTGTGCTCTGTATTTAAGAGTCTCTTATGGTTTCCCTCCCTCCCTCTCTGTAATTATTTTTCCCCCTTCCCTTCCCCCATGGTCTTCTGTTAAGTTTCTTAAGATCCACAAATGAGTGAAAATATATGATATCTGTCTTTCTCTGATTGACTTATTTCACTTAGCATAATACCTTCCAGTTCCATCCACGTTGCTGCAAATGGCATGATTTCATTCTTTCTCACTGCCAAGTAGTGTGGAATACCACTTGTTATCTTTTAAAAGTTCTCCAGGAGATTCTGATGTGCAGCCAGAATTGGAAACTGCTGCTATAGAATAACCAGAGGGTAACACAGGAAACTGGTGCCGTGTCTGCCCCCAGAAGGAACAGCGGGGTAAAGAATGGCTAGTCTGGGAGAATTACTTTTCATTGAAAACTCTTTGATTTTTTGAATTTATTTATGTGTACATGTTACCTGTTTCCAAGGACAATCAAATTAAAAAAAAAAAAAAGGTACAACACCCATCGCAGTGAAAATAAATCAGAATAGCAAATCGGGAATAGCCTCTCCAATGATGGGAGTCAGTTTGGGGCCCACTAGAGCAAGGCCTCAGAGCAAGTGACCTGTCCCACCTGGGAAGTGTGGCTGGTCAGAAAGCACTGAGGAGGCAAATCCTGAAGTGGCCGCTCACCGGAAATGACTTATTTGCTGGCCCACAACAACCCCCACTTTAGTTACTCTTTGGAAAGCAGTTTGGGATAGAATAATGGCTATTATACGTGACCTTCCAGCTGCTAGCACCTCTGTGAACCCTGAGATCAACAGGAGGGGAAATGCCCAGACTCACATGGGAGGGGTAAAGAGACCTGGGTTCTGGCTGCCTGGGCGGCTGAACTGCTGTTACTGAGGAAAAGCAGATTAGTAGGGATTTGGTGATCTGTTTCACTTCTTAGACTCCTGCTGCAGAGAAGTAGAGCACTGATGAACTATGGTAGGAGTAGCAGACCAAAGTCCAGTTCCATGGAGCCCCTGGGGATGTGTATGTGGGGAGGCAGAGAGGGTCACAACATTAAATAGCAGTCTGAGATGCTGAACTGGAAGGGAGAGAGGCACCAATGACTGTCCTAAAGCTTCCTCTCTAGCATCTTCTCCTTGCACTGGGTCATAGCCATATGTTCTTGGATTTTGGCATCAGGAAGCTCTCAGTTTGGAAATCCCCCACCGTTCCACCTCAAAATCCACTACTTGTCAGTTGCGTGACCTTGCTGAGTAACCTAATACTGTGATCCTCAGTTTCCTCACCTGTAATGTAGATTAAAATGGATGGAATGTGGGGTGCCTGGGTGGTTTAGTTGGTTGAGTGTCGACTCTTGATTTCAGCTCAGGTCACGATCTCACGTAACATGAGATTAAGCCCTGCACTGGGCTCTGTACTGACAGCTCGGATCTTGCTTGGATTCTCTCTCTCTCTCTCTCTCTCTCTCTCTCTCTCCTTCTGTGCCCCTCCTCCCCCCCAAAACAAATAAATAAACTTAAAAAAGAAACATATACTGTTTTAGAGGCACCTGGGTGGCTCAGTCGGTTGAGCATCTGACTTCAGCTCAGATCATGATCTCACGGTTCATGAGTTTGAGCCCTGCATCCGGCTCTCAGCTGTCAGTCCAGAGTCCGATTCAGATCCTCTGTCCCCTCTCTCTCTCTCTGCCCCTCCCCGGCTTGCATGCTCTGTCTCTCTCAAAAATAAATAAACGTTTAAAAAAAAAAAGAAAAAAAATGTATACTATTTAAAAACTAAAATGTATGGAATAAGAGAAAGAAAATGATAGCTGTTGTTATATTAAACCAGGTTTTACTGGTGTCTGTTACATGCAAGGATGCAAGGTGTACTCTTACGTTTGACAATACGGTGGATGTAGGGGTTAAGAGTGGGCTTTGCAGTCAGGTGTAACCGGGACAAAATCATATTACTGTCACTTATTAACTGGGACCTTGGGCTAGTCACCTAACATCTCTGAGTCTAGTTTCCTTACCTATAAAGGGAGAATCATAATATAGCACCTCCTTGAAAGCTGCTCTAAGGATTAAATAATGAATGTGAAGAGTTTTGTGCATCCAGAAATATACATCCAGAAATCAGCATCTGTTGCCATCGTATGTTTTGCAGCCTATAGGGAGTGACAAAGTACCTTACACCCACTGTCTTACTTGACCCTCTCCACGACTGGGAAGGAAGGACACATCAGGTGCGTCTGGCAGGAAGGGGGCAGGCATTAACTACCTTTGATGCCCATTGACTTATCTCCAGTCACAAGGCACAGCATCAGGAGTAAACCCAGGTGTTTGATTCCCCATATGACTTGTGACTTCCGGAAGCTCTGAATCTGATGGTTGACAGGAACTTGAGGATCATCTCTAGGCAAGAAAGGGAGTTCCTTAAAATTAGTGTGAAGAGGTTCATTGGAAAGGGAAGGAAAGGAAGTTAACCGTTTTTGCTTCTTTCACAGGGGCTCTTGACCTTCCACTCCTGTCCAGCGAACCCCCGCAGGCTATAAACAAGAGAGAATGAATAAACATATATTTGACGTCAGATAGCGCCCAGTTACGGGGCAGATAATTAAATCAGGATGACACGTTCAGATGTGACTGGAAGGGTAGGGGAGAGAGAGTGGGAATTTAAACTGAGACCTGACACAAGAAAGAAACCAGGCAGCAGGAACCAGTGGTCGGTCCCGAAAGAATACAAGGTTGGCTGGCAAAGGAGGCCAGGATGGGTGGAGAGCAGAGAGAGGGAGGGATGCCAGGTAAGAAAGGCGCCGGTCCAGAACATTCAGGTCCTCGAAAGCATAGGGAGGAATTTAATTTTATCTGTAAACGTCAAGAAAAGCCACTGAGGATTTTAAGCGAAGTTGCAATTACGTCTCATATTTATTTTTACATTTTTATTCACATCTTAAAAGGCGTCTCTGGCTAATTGGGACCTTCAGTGGAGAGTAGGTTACACTAATGGTAAAGCCCCTAACTTTCCAGCTGACCTTTCCCCATTTAGGATCTTCATTCCACATCTACAAAGGGAGAATGGGAGGGGACAGGGTCCCAAGAGATCAGTGATAAAGACCTTCCAGCTCGAAAAGGCAGAACACTTAACCGCTCTAAACCGAAAGCTTCCGGGTCTCTCCGGACACCTTTTCCTTGCTACGCTTCCAGGGTTCAGGTGCAAAACCGCCGATAATTCCTCACAGCCCCCAGCGGAGAAGGAACCTCCCGAAGAACCAGGGACTCGAGGCCCTGCCGGGCAGCCAATCGTGAGGAGGAAAACAGCCAGGAGGCGGCACCCCCGCGGTCCGGGCCGCGTCATTGGCTGGCGGCCGCGTCGCTCGCCCGCGGGGCCACGTGACTGCCACCGTCCGGGCCGTCGTACTGGCTGGGTCTTCCGCACCTCTCCGCCGGTGCTTCCAGGCCGCTCTCCGCGGTCCCGCCCGGTGGGGCCCCGCCTTCCTCGGGGGCCGGGCGATGGGCGGGGAAGGGGACGGGCCGGTTAAAGGGAGGCCGGCCCGGGACCGGGCTACCTCTGCCGGCGCTGCTGTGTCCCCTCAGCCTCGCCACGGCGCAGGACGTGCCGCGGGGCCTCGTCGCACGGGGAGGCCAGGGACCTAGAGGTGAGAAGAGGGGAGGGGACGCGAGAAGGGGGAACCGAGCGGTGCCGGCCTCCATGCGGTCGGCGGGCCCCTCTTAGGGTCGTTCTGGCCTGTGCCGGAGACGTGGTGGCAGGAAGCCCGGACCAACGGTCGACGTGGGCGTCGTGGCCAGGCCGTTGCAGGTGGGTGTGCGTCAGGGTTGTACCCTCGGTCCGCAGACCCGGAGCAGGGTGAAAGCCCCCGTCTCTCGCTGCGGCGATTCCGACCCCACTCCTCGGCCTCAGGGCTACCCACCTTCCGCCCCACATCACGAGGATGCCCCGCACCTCGTAGATAGCGGTGCTGCTCTGGTGTTGGAGCCCTCGTCTAGGCGTCTCCAACTCGGAAAACTGGGAGAAAGACCTGGGAGATAGGAGCCGCCGCCACCACCCACCGTCCCACCCTCGGACAGATGGGGAACCAGGCTTGGACACGCAAGAGGACCTCATTCTCTTGGTTTTTAAAACCACACATCTGGTTTAAGTACAAATCAGGGACTGTACTTCGAGACTCACAGACTAAGTTGTAATCTTTCACTGGATAGTTGGGAACACTGAAAGGACACAGAGAGGGAGGGCCAGGTCCTCTCCTGAAATTATACAGCATGTCATTTGCAGAGCTGGGACTTGTACCCATCTCTCCCAAACTCATAGAATATAAGGCTGAGTTCCCCTCCCCCCTTTTTTTTTTGCACGGATTGGGGACCACATGAGTTGGGAGCATTCAGGACTTAAACTTTCTGGCACCCATTCTAGTACCTTTTTTTCCGCCCCCCTCCTTTTCTCTAGGGCTCTTTATGTCAAATCTGGAACCAGTGTGATATCCAGTATTGGGTTAAGCAGAAGTTCTTTGTTTTTGAAAATCAAGAGAGAAAAGGAAAGCCAAACCTACTGGAAGACAGGAGCCCATTTTTTTTTTCCCCATCAAGAATCTCGAAGGACGGACTAGTAACTGTCGTTTATTGAACAAATGCTATGTGCCAGGCACTGTGCTGGGTACTTGTGCTAGCTTTACAACAGCCCTGCAAGTTAGATAATGTTATCCCCATTTTACAGGTGAGAAAATGATGCTGAGTAAAAGGAAGTTTTTCACCCGTGCCATACAGTTGTTGAATAGTGTGGCTGGGATCTGAATAGAGATCTGTTCAACTCCAGGACATATCCAGTGATTCTCCTAGTAGGGCCCTTACCTCACTGGCTCCGAGTCTCCAGGGATTCAGTCTTGGATCTCATCCCTGGATTTGCCTGAGAAACCGCACTTGAATATCACTGTACTATAATATGCTGCCTCCCAGGGGTAGATCTAGAGATAACACATTCAGGGCTGGGGAGAGGTCCAGATTGGATTCACGAGGGGTGAGGATTTTGATCATTGACTTCACTTTTAGTGGGCATAGACCCCCCCCCCCAAGCAGATGCTTGCCACACTGAAATTTCATGACATAAACTTAGTTATGGCGCATGGAGGCGGAGAGAGAGAGAGAGGTCACTCCTTTTTCTTTACTACATAGCTGTTCAACTGTCATTTCTCCATTCACTCAACAAATATTTGTTAAGCACTTATTAGGTGCTAGCATGGTTCAAGACCCTGGAGATAACAGCTGTGAACCAAAGAGCAAATTACTGCACTGATGAGAAAGACAATTAACCAAAAGTTAAGAAAGAAAGAAAGAAAGAAAGAAAGAAAGAAAGAAAGAAAGAAAGAGAGAGAGAGAGAGAGAGAGAGAGAGAGAGAGAGAGAGAAAGAAAGAAAGAAAGAAAGAAAGAAAGAAAGAAAAGAAAAGAAAGAAAGAAAGAAAGAAAGAAAGAAAGAAAGAAAGAAAGAAAGAAAGATGGTAAGAAGGGCCATGGAGAAAAATAAAGCAAAGTAAGGGGGACAGGAGTACAGGGCAGGGATGAGGGAGGGAGGTGTGGTGGTGGCAGTGATGCTGTTTTACGTGTTGTGTCTGGGAAGGAACTGCCTAGGGTAGTATTTGAGCGGAAACCTAAAAGAAGCAAGAGGGAAAGCTATGAACACAGCCCCGAGCACCATTCTAGTTAGAGGGACAGCAAAAGGAGACGGAGGTAGGAACAACCTGCTTGGCCTGTTTGACTCTTCGCTGGGATCTGAATTATTATTCTGGCCAAAGTACAGTTACAGAGATAAATTTTACATTGTTGCTCCTGACAGAAAAAAGAAAATGAAAATGTTACCAGCGCACGTGTGTAATGTGAAAGATAAAATTGATTTCATTCTTAATCCTCTACAAACCTGCTTCAATAATGTTGTGCCAACAGCTTCAAGAGTTTTGCCACCTTCACGGATTCACATTAATAAGACTCAGATCTACGAGTTGAGCACTCGGCCACAAAATGGCAATTTGAACTAGCCCCGAAGACTTCTTAGCAGGGAAACAAATCTGGGGAGTCAGGTGGCATTTTGGAAAGAGAGGGAACCTTGGAAATTGGAAAACGAGGATTGAGACTTTGGTCCTACTAGTTGAGGCAGTGACTACAACTTTGGTTTTTCTCATATTGGAGGAGAGGACTCATAATCTGTTCTCAGATCTGTTGAGGAGGCAAGTGGGAGGTGTATATGAAATCTTTTTGAAAGCTGTGACTTACTCTTCGAGGAACTATTATTTGATCGTGGTTTTACATGATGTTATTTTCCTCTTTGGTGTTTTAGTTTTTCGTCTTACATTGATTGGGCTTTATACCAGAAACAATACGTCCTAGTGGCGTTTGAGGTGGGCCTTCAAGGATTAGGAAAAGGACCAAGATAGTTGGAGATAGAAAGGAAAGGCATTCCAGACTGAGGGAACAACATGAGGAAAGGCCCAGAGGAACCAGGGATGCTTAATATTTTCCTAGATTGGTGACTAGAACACCAGAGCATGGAAGGAAGCAAAAGAAAGGCAGGTCCAGCTCGTTCAGAGAGAGAAGCCTGTGCTAAACTTTGTAGACCGTATGCAGGAGGAGGTGGGGTGCCATTGCAGATTTTCGAAGAGCGATCCAAATGGTTTGATCTCTTGTTAACGAATGCTTCTTTTGAAAAAGAGGCAACAGAGCATGGTGGTTAAAAAAAACGACGGGTTCAGTTAGGTGTTTAAGGCTGAAGTACGTCTGGGGACAAAACTCCAAACCAACCAACCGGTGTGGATGGAGAGGTGCAAAAGTGCAGACGTAGCAAAACATTGACAATTGGTGAATTGTGAAATTGTTTAATAGGTGAACTGTGAACATACCAGTGCTGCATGTATCATTCTTTCAACTTTTCTGAAGATTTGATAAGTTTCAAAAGAAGCAGTCGAGAGACAGAGTACGTGTGAATCACACAGGCTTTGCCTCCCGTCACAGTTCCACTACTTGCCAGCAGTGTGAGTACAGGAAAATTATTCCCAACCGCACAGTCCACACCTGTTGCAGCCTAGTTGTAACTGAGATTTTTCCACGTAAGTGAAGAGAGAGAGTCTTTTGGTAGGTGACTTGTTCACATTAGTATGAGGTTAATGTTAAGACTTCAAGTTCCCCACAAACTTTAGATCTCGGTTACTTTATGGAGTCGCGATTTATTTTCCCTTCTCTGTTTTCTTTTGGATTGTTTAGTATTATTTTCTGTGATTCCATTTTATCTCCTCTGTTGGTTTATTAGCCATAGCTCTGTGATTAATGGAGTTGTATTAGGGTTTATAGTATGCATCCTTAATTTATCACACTCTACCTTCGCCGTTATTATACCATTTTGTGTATAAGAACCTTTTAATACTCTGCTTCCTCTCCTCCTGGTTTTATGTTCAAATATATATTAAAAATGTAAAATAGACCACTTTAACCGTTTTCAGTTTGCAGTTCAGTGCATTAGGTACGATTCACTGTGTTGTGCAACTGTCACTACTTTTATTTTTAAAACTTAAGGGGCGCCTGGGTGGCTCAGTCAGTTGAGTGTCCAACTCTTGATTTCGGCTCAAGTCATTATCTCCCAATTTGTGAGTTCGAGCCCCTTGCCAGGCTCTGCGCTGATGGTGCGGAGCCTGCTCAGGATTCTCTCTCTCTCTCCCTCTCTCTCTCTCTCTCTCTCTGCCTGTGCACTTTCTCTCTCTCTTAAAATAAACTTTAAAAAAAAAAACTCGGGACACCTGGGTGGCTCAGTAGGTGTTCTTCAGCTCAGGTCATGATTTCATGGTTCGTGAGTTCGAGCCCCGCATTCAACTGCACACTGACAGTGCGGAGCCTACTTGGGATTCTCTCTCCCTCTCTCTCTGCCCCTCCCCCACTTGTGCTCTCTTTTTTAAAATAAATGAATGGGGGCACCTGGGTGGCTCAGTTGGTTGAGCAGCCGACTTCGGCTCAGGTCATGATCTCGCGGTCCGTGAGTTCGAGCCCCGCATCGGGCTCTGTGCTGACAGCTCAGAGCCTGGAGCCTGTTTCAGATTCCGTGTCTCCCTCTCTCTCTGCCCCTCCCCCACTTGTGCACATGCTCTTGCTTGCTCTCTCAAAAATAAATAAACATTAAAATGATAATAATAAAAACCAATCCACCCATTAACAACTTATTAAGTGCCTTCTGTGTGCCAGATTTTATGCTAGGTATTGTGAGAATACATGAAAAGTAGAAAACATCTCCTTGAACAATTCTTAATCTAGTTGGGAAGATAAAGCATCTCCCCAACAAATGTTTATTGAACATCTAAACAATGGGAATTCAGAGAAAAAAATGAGGTACCATTTATGTGCTAATATGTTCCTTTATGTGCAATATGTTCCTCCTCTCCCCATTTACTTTTCCAGTTTTGGCTTCTCTCTTGGGCCTGATACCCCCATTTCCAGTTGCTCACTGGACATCCTCATGTGGACATCTGATAGAATTTCAAACCTGTGAAACCTAAAGTCAAACTTTTTGTTGTCTCCTATCTTTTCGTTTCCTCCTCCGTGTTCCTATACATCATTCTTCCTTGTGCGTGTCGCACCTCACGATCCGTCTTGGATTTGTCCATCTCCTTTAGTGTCTCCGGTCTTGTTCTACCACTGAAATGTCAAGCCTCTCCCATCCCTGCCCTGCCTTGGAGTTTATGCCTTTGTCAGCCAAATCTAGGCTTCTTGGGATCAAATACGAAACCAGTCTTTCACTCTAGTCTTAACCTCCTGCAGCTTCACCCTAGGAATTGGCATTCTAGGTGACTTTTTCCTGGGTCTTGGATTAAACTGTGACCTTTTACTTGCCTGAGTTTCCTTTCCTTTCTTGTTTACAACTTGTTCACATTGGCCCACAGCTCATCCTCCACTCTCAGAATACGCCAAACCTCTGTTAATGGCACGTAGAGTGTTATAGCTTATCTGTTTATAATTGTCTTAGTCCTTTGATTGTTGGTAGAAACTGGGTTTCTTATTCATTTTAGCAAGAACTTACTGATCTATTATGTGCTAAGTATTGTTCTTGGTACTGTGGATATGAGAAAGACTATAAATAATAGTATTTTTTTTTAATTTTTTTTTCAACGTTTTATTTTATTTTTGGGATAGAGAGAGACAGAGCATGAACAGGGGAGGGGCAGAGAGAGAGGGAGACACAGAATCGGAAACAGGCTCCAGGCTCTGAGCCATCAGCCCAGAGCCCGACGCGGGGCTCGAACTCACGGACCGTGAGATCGTGACCTGGCTGAAGTCGGACGCTTAACCGACTGCGCCACCCAGGCGCCCCTAAATAATAGTATTTTTAATGTATAAATACATTATATAATTTCAAAAGTCCCTGTGAAAGTGCTATGAAGAAATAAAGCCAGGTAAGGATTTAGAGAATGATGGAGTGGAGTATTATGTTATTTGGAATGGCCAAGCAATGTCTCTCTAAGGGGATGATACACCGGCTGAGCCCTGAAGGATGAGAAAAAGCCTGCAAAGGTCTGGGAGTGATTATTACAGGCAAAGAGAACTTGAGCAAGTGCAAAGACCTTAGAAAGGGAATCAACTTGGCGTGTTCCAGAACAGCAAGAAGGCCAGTAGGAAATGAGGGTAGAGAGGTAGGCAGGATTCAGGTATTGTAGGCCATTAGACTAGCCCAGATAAGATGTGATGGTGGAGGGGAGTGAAAAGTGATTAGGTTCAGGTACTTTGGAGAGTAGGGAGCAGGTGGATATCATATTTGAGGTAGCACAGACAGGACTTACTGACGGATGATATATACGATTAGTAGGTTAGAGGAAAGAAAGATTGACCCCTTGGTTTTGGGTCTAGATTCTGAGGCAGTGTGTCTAGCACAGTGGTTAGCTTATGATGCTTAGAAGGGGCGCCTGGGTGGCTCAGTCGGTGAAGTGTCCGACTTCGGCTCAGGTCATGATTTCACGGTTTGTGGGTTCGAGCCCTGTGTTGGGCTCTGTGCTGACAGCTTGGAGCCTGGAGCCTGCTTCGGATTCTGTGTCTCCTTCTCTCTCTGCTTCTCAATCTCTCTCTCTCTCTCTCTCTCTCTCTCTCTCTCTCTCTCTCAAAAATAAGCATTAAAAACAATAAAAATTAAAAAGAAAAAGATTGTCCTCTGAAAAGGCACTTCAGTTTCACAAATTACAGAACTGTTATACATGCATTGTTAGTTAAAAGTATGTGCTGTAATTACCAACAGCAGACATTGGTTTGCTTCTATCCAAATCTTCAAAAAGAAGTTGGCTGACTGCTATCAGGCTCATACAGAAAGGATGTAACCTCTCTTCTAGTCCAGTGCTCTAGCCTCTCAGTAATTCACACGGGAATTGTGTCAATGCTGCCTGTCTGCCACCTGGATCACACCGCTTTCTAGGTGTCACAGCTGCATGTGTGCAGCTTAAGAATAAAGTGAAGAAATGTCGTTCCTTTTTGTGTTACTCAAACTACCATTGTACTTTAATGTTTGCATAGGTAAATGCACTGTTCAGACGTTTTGTTTTTTTCTTCCCCTGTGATTCCTGCAAGGTAATGTGGAAGGGTCAAGTATTTTCCTCTTGAACCTTTCCTTTTCTCACTCTCGATTATCAATGTTAATAAAGGGAGAAACTGGCCCAGATGATACGGTAGACTTGTGTTTTATTGAACTTCATGGAAAGTATAGTTTGTACTCCAGCCTCCTTAAAATGGAAGTCTGGCTGTAGGCTCTATTCCAAGGATAAACACTGTCATGTCTTAATTTCCATGAAGCAATTGATGAATACTATAATTGAAAGCAGTAACTGGCTTAAGGAAGTGAGAGGATTTTTGTGCGAAAAGGGGTATTTGAAAAATATGTTCCAAAGGAGATATTTCCACTTGAAAATAAATACTGCTTTGCATTCTACTTTTCCTGTACTTGAGTTATTTGCTTAGCAAATATTTTAGCTCCTGTTTTGGAAAGCATATACCTGGACATGTTGGGGGATACAAAGATGAATTAGATTGGAGCTTGCTCTCAAGGAGCTTACTGTGTGTGAAGGTCACACCTACCATTTAGTGTAAAATAATTTTTAATGTAGTTTTATGTTGCTTTGTGTTTTAAAATCTGTGTGAAAAAGGAAAAAAAATAGTGTTGAGAGTTTTAGGAGGTGAGTAGAATAGATAAAGGAGACTATACGTGGCTTTTGGATTCAGACTGATGGCTGTATCAGTTCTACTTCTAGGACTGTTTGTGAATGAATACCTAAGTTTTTGAGAGTTAGAGGTGGAAAAGGGCCACGGCCAAGAGTATAGTAAAAGGAGAGTTGGGTACACATTTGTAGGTATCAGTCCAGGTCATTTGGGGTAGCAGGTAGGTGAAACTGGGATGTGTAGAGCAGCTGAATTCTAAAGTGTTTGGAATTATCTGAGGTTAGAGAAAGCTAATTAGATAGGTGATAGGAATAGTGCCTTGCTCAAAAAGAGCTATACTTAGAGTCCTAAAATCTGGATTTTATTAGCTGACTCAGTCACTTACAAGCTAAATAAATTACTGCATTGGACAAGTCCTTTCACTTTTATAATCTATCTGTATTTAAAGTGGGTTTCTTATAGATAGCATATAGTTGGGCCTTAATTTTTAATCTAATCTGACACTTGCTACCTTTTCATTGGCATGTTTAGAACATTCACATTTGATGTGATTATTTTTATGTTTGTTTTAAACTCTACCATCCTGCCAGCTATTTTCAGTGTGTTCCATCTACTTTTGGTCTCTTTTTCCCCCCTTTTTTTTGTTTTCTTTTGGATTGAGAATTTTTTACGATCTCATTTTATCTCCACAATTAACTTACCGTTTATGCCTTTCAAAAAATTTAGTGGTTCCTCTTGGATTTACAAATACATCGTTAATCAGAGCCTACCTTCAAATAATAATGAATCACTTCACATCTAGTTTAAGACTTTACAATTCCCAATTACCCATTTTTTGTGCTATTTTTATACATTTTATTTTGCATATGCTATAAACAAAATACATTCCTACCGTCGCTTAGATGTTTACCTTTTAGAGCAGTTTAAGATATTTTAAATTAAAACATGGATTTGACTTGATTTTCATTTGTTCCATTCCTTGACTTTATTTCTTTGTTGTGTTTTGTGTAGCCCTAGTTTCTGTCTGGTATATGTATACATGGTAGTGCTGGTCTGCTGGATATTCTTAGTGTTTGAGAAAGTCTTTGTTTCTCCTTCATCTTCTAAAAGATATTTTCTCTAGGTATAGAATTCTGGGTTGACAGCTATTTTTCTGTGATAAAGGTATTATTCAGTCACCTTCCGATGTTTCTAATAAGTCCACTGTAATTTTTGTCTTTATTCCTCTGTATGTAATGTGTGTTTTCAATTTGGCCGTTTTTAGGCTGTTATCTTTGTTTTCAGCAGCTTGAATATGATATGTGTAGGTGTGGGATTTTGTTTGGTTTTTCTTTCTATATTTGTCATTTTTGGTATTCTCTGAGATTCTTGGATCTATACTTTGGTGTCTGTCTTTAATTTGGGAAAATTCTTGGCCATTATGTCTTCAAATATTTCTTCTGTCCATTCTTTGTCCTCTCCTTTTGGGATTCCAAGTACACATGAGTTAGATTGTTTACTATCTTCCATAGCTCTTGGATGTTCTCTTACATTGTTGTTACTGATTTAAAAAAAAAAAATCTGTTTTTCTCTTTCTTTTTAAATTTGGGTAATTTCTATTGACCTATCCTCAATTTCATGGATTCTTTCTTTGGCTCTGTCGAGTCTGTTGATGATCCTGTCAGAGGCATTCTTCATCTCTATTACTGTATTTTTTCACTTTTAGTATTTCAATTCAATTATTTCTTATAGTTTCCATCACTCTTGTACTTTCTAGTATTAATTTTTATCTTTTTCCTTCCCGGATAGCAGCCGTGTAGGGCAAGATTTGGATTTTCTTAGCTTTTTTTCTTATGCCTCTTTTGCATATCTTAGGTTTGGAAAAGCCCTTTGACCCAGGAATCACCAAGAGCTGTTCCAAAATAAAAGGACCTAAGAAATGTACTCAAACTAGGTTGACCTGAGTAGGAAGTAAGAAGAGAGTTACAGACCAGTTGCATTGAGGAATGAAGACCTGCTGTGTGTATCCACCAATCTGATTGACTTGCTCAGGGTAAGTTGTGATCTAAATCTGTTCTTTTCTTCTTTTTCTACTTAATGAGACCATCAAGTAACTATTATTTTACTCTTGTTCATTGGGAGGATCAGCTATAGCCCCTTCATCCAAACAAAATTAATGTGGATTACTTTGCAAGGGTGTATTTTTCTGTCAGTTCCAAAACAGGAAACTTTCTGAGTCTTCTGTCTAGTATATTTTGTCTCTGTTTGGCCACAGTCATAAAGTGTGTATTCATTTGTTCTTTGATCCATTCAAACATTTTGTAAGCCTACTATCTCGGAATTACTATATACCTGTTGGTGATTACAATGATGAGCGAGATATCCTTTCCTCCAAGAGCTGGAGAGACTCTTAGTTAACTAACACAAGAGTATTACTAGTGCTATAATGAAAGTGAAAAATACTATGGGATATAGAAGTATAGTGATTCACTTGGGCTAGGGGATTGGTTGGTGCTTTGTAGAAAGGGTAGTGTTGTTTAACTGGGTGTAAAAATGGTTAGAATCTTGATGGGCAGAGAGGTTGATGGCCATTCTAAGCTAAGCAAACAGCTAACACAAAGACACTGATTTGGGAAGTATCTGGTAAACAGTTTATGGTGTATTCAAAAAGAAAAAAAAAGACCATCTTCTTTGCTTCCGGGACTTGCAGGTAGCAGCAAAGTTTTGAGACTAGATCCTGTTTTGCAGTATACCTGGGGGTGAAAAACCTGGAAAGAAGATAGTGATAGTAGGAGACGGGCCACCCTGATACCTTTTCTGGAGGGAAAAACTGCAGGGGAAGCCAGGCAGAGATGGGGAAGAATCCTTGATGGTTTTTACTTTGGGGAAGTCCTATACCCAATCAATTATTTGCTCTGACTTGGCTATTTTTGGTCTATATTTTGTGTTTGTTTTTGTTTTCCCTGATCAAGACATATGAGGCTCAACTAACGAAAGAAAGTGAATATAAGACACCTACCCCCGAACTGAACTCGTCTTCACTCTCATGGATGACAAGTAGGACTGTTAAAATGTGTGAGCACTGAGAATTACTTAACCAGTTAATCCCGGTTTTTTCTTTGGGGTAGGAGGCTGAAGCATCTATCTCCAGAAATGTCTTTGGAAAGTAAAGAGCAACATGATCTGTCACTCACTGACTCATCTGAAGGAAATGACCAACACGGCCCTCTGTGTAACATCCCTCCGGAGCTTGCAAATGAATCAAGTACTGACTTCAAGCAGTTTGAAGCCAATGATCAATGCACACCTTATCGTAGGATCCATATGGAGCCTCAAGAGAAATCAAATACTAACTTCAAGAAATTTGTCATTAAAAAATTGCGGAGGACTTGCCAGTGCAGTCCAACCAAAGCCAAAAATGTGATTTTTGGTTTCCTTCCTGTTTTGCGATGGCTCCCAAAGTATGATCTGAAGAAAAACATTTTAGGGGATGTGATGTCTGGCTTGATTGTGGGCATCTTATTAGTACCCCAATCCATCGCTTATTCCCTCTTGGCTGGCCAAGAACCTATCTATGGTCTGTACACCTCTTTTTTTGCCAGCATCATTTATTTCCTATTGGGTACCTCCCGTCACATCTCTGTGGGCATTTTTGGAATATTGTGCCTTATGATTGGTGAGGTAGTTGACCGAGAACTACACAAAGCCGGCTATGACACTGCCCATACTGCTCCTTCTTTAGGGATGGTTTCAAATGGGAGCACATTATTAAACCAGACATCAGACTGGATATGTGACAGAAGTTGCTATGCAATTGCAGTTGGCAGCACTGTGACCTTTATGGCTGGAGTTTATCAGGTAAGAAACAATGGAACGGGTGGTTGCTTCTACCAAAAGAAATCACCGTACATGAAATCTCAGATCTGTAAGGGATCTCAGAGATCATAGTAGTTAAAGCTGTCATTTACTGAATGCTTAGGATATGTGAGGGATAGAGCCAAAATTCAGACCATAGTTTGACTCTACATGGAAGATAAGGCTGCTTCTCTTTCCTCAACCTTAGGCTGCCTCTGAACCAGTGAATTTCAGTCAGCCAGATTGTAATTATTTGGTTGCAAAATGTAGACCAGAAAGGGACCTCAGATCACCTAGTACAACTCCTTAATTTTACATGTTGAGAAACACTGGGTTTTCTTGAGGTTGTGTGTGGTTCCTTATTGGCAGAGTCAGCACTAACAAGCAGGAGGAGGGTAACAGGATGAGGGTTGGCAGAGGGAGGAGTGCAGAAGGTTTCAAACTATAGATGCCCCCCCCCCCCGCCCCGCCACCAACCCCACTTTAGAATTGTTGCTCTAGTAAGTGACTCTCACTAAAGACAGCACTTCCCGTGGACTGCTAGGGAACAAGTTGAGAACCACTATTTCATATGATTAGCCAGAAGAAAGGATTACAAATTAAATTCTCCTTGGGTCTCCCATAGAATCCGCAAACCTACCATTATCATCACACCCCTGTCTTTTAGCATCTGGGAGTCGATGCCAGCATTAAACCTCTTCTCCATTATAGGCATCTGGTTCCAATATGGGAAAGGGAAGAGTAGCTCACTTAGTTTGGTGCCTGGGAAAGAGGAAGAGAAGGGGCTGCTGTGCAGAGTGGTGCTCTTCAGGGTCCAGTTTTGCTTTTTTGTTATTATGTCTCACCAAGAATGAGGAAGGGCTCAGGGAAATTCTGAGGAATTATTGGGAAGAGGAAAAAAATAAAGAAGTAAAAATGTTGTATCTTTGACGATGCAGAATTAATATGGGAAGCAGTTTGGCATAAGCACATACACACTGAATGAGAATAGTTTCTCAGCGTGAGGTTAAAGACTGTTCTATAATTTAAATGTGATTCTATTTTGATGTGAATCAAAATTTTTTTATTAATTAAAACTTTACTTTTATGGTAACGATTTATAATTTAATGGAAATACATGCCCTTGTCATTAGAAGAATTTTTCCAATTTGAGTTTTTGTAATTTTTTGTGGATCCTTAGAAATCGTTTTCTTGAGGTCTGAACTTTATTCACATTTCAGAAACATTGTACAAGAAGGTAGGAATCCTAAGTTCTTGTCTTATCCAGGCTGAGGAACAGTGGGACTTTGGACCAGTTGCTCAACCCTCTGAGTGTCAGTAAAATGAACCCTCTCTTTGTAAAATGAGAGGGCTGATGTATGATTGTGTTTTTTTTCTACCTCTGACATTTTGTGATGCTCTGAGGTATGTCTCCATGCAAGGCAGTGCCAGGATATTAGAGGATTTAGAAGCTCTTTTCCATTTATATTTAACACTTGTATATCCTTCCTTCCAGGTAGCGATGGGCTTCTTTCAAGTGGGCTTTGTTTCTGTCTACCTCTCAGATGCCTTGCTGAGTGGATTTGTCACTGGTGCCTCCTTCACTATTCTTACATCTCAGGCCAAGTACCTCCTTGGGCTCAGCCTTCCTCGGAGTAATGGTGTGGGCTCGCTCATCACTACTTGGATACATATCTTCAGAAACATCCATAGGACCAATATCTGTGATCTCATCACCAGCCTTTTGTGCCTTTTGGTTCTTTTGCCAACCAAAGAACTCAATGAGCACTTCAAGTCCAAGCTTAAGGCACCAATTCCTACCGAACTCATTGTCGTCGTGGCAGCCACATTAGCTTCTCATTTTGGGAAACTCCACGAGAAATACAATAGCAGTATTGCTGGACATATTCCCACGGGGTTTATGCCACCCAAAGCACCGGACTGGAACTTAATTCCCAGTTTGGCTGTAGACGCAATAGCTATTTCTATCATTGGTTTTGCTATCACTGTATCACTTTCTGAGATGTTTGCCAAGAAACATGGCTACACAGTCAGAGCTAATCAGGAAATGTATGCCATTGGCTTTTGCAATATCATCCCTTCCTTCTTCCACTGCTTTACTACTAGTGCGGCTCTTGCAAAGACTTTGGTTAAAGAATCAACAGGCTGCCAAACTCAGCTTTCTGCTGTGGTGACAGCTTTGGTTCTTTTGTTGGTCCTCCTGGTAATTGCTCCTTTATTCTATTCTCTTCAGAAAAGTGTCCTTGGTGTGATCACTATTGTAAATCTCCGGGGAGCCCTACGTAAATTTAAGGATCTACCCAAAATGTGGAAGGTTAGCAGAATGGATACAGTTATCTGGTTTGTCACTATGCTGTCCTCTGCACTGATAAGTACTGAAATAGGCCTGCTTATTGGGGTTTGTTTTTCTATGTTTTGTGTCATTCTCCGCACACAGAAGCCAAAGATTTCATTGCTTGGCTGGGTGGAAGAGTCCGAAATCTTTGAATCCATGTCTGCTTACAAGAATCTTCAGACAAAGCCGGGCGTCAAGATATTCCGTTTTGTAGCCCCTCTCTACTACATAAACAAAGAATGTTTTAAATCTGCTTTATACAAAAAAACTCTCAACCCAGTCTTAGTAAAGGCAGCTCAGAAGAAGGCTGCCAAGACAAAGATCACAAAGGAGACAGTGATTTTCAGTGGAATCCAGGATGAAGTTTCACTGCAACTTTCCCATGATCCTTTGGATCTCCATACCATAGTAATTGACTGCAGTGCAATACAGTTTTTAGATACAGCAGGGATCCACACCCTGAAAGAAGTTCGTAGAGATTATGAAGCCATTGGCATCCAGGTTCTGCTGGCTCAGTGCAATCCTTCTGTGAGGGATTCCCTGGCCTGCGGAGAGTATTGCAAAAAGGAAGAAGAAAACCTTCTCTTTTATAGTGTGTATGAAGCGATGGCTTTTGCAGAAGAATATCAGAATCAGAAAGGAGTATGTATTCCCAATGGTCTAAGTCCTTCCAGTGATTGAGAAAGTAGATGGAAAGAATACTTATGTCTAGCCAGTAGGTTAGTTTGAAGTGTGTAACATTTTCCAGTTCCACAGCAGAAAATGTTGCACACTTGAAATTTTAACCTGATGATTAGGTATTATTCCTTTGAAGCTGATGGCCTTTGTAGATATCTACACATATGCAGCAGAGTAGAGCTTATAGTCAACCAGAATCAAAAAGAAGAAAATACCATGGTTTCAAGCTTTCTTGCAGATATGAGGTATTCTTGGAATTAAATGTCTATTGAATTGAACTGTAAGGTGACCCCCAAACTTAATTACCATCGTGTGTTTTAGAAGATTCGCATTTGGATTCTTCCTTCTCCAGGAAGTAAAGCTGTCGTTGACATTCTGAGAAGTGCTGGAGCCTGCTTGATAATGGCTCTTTGGAGAGGGAGTAGAAAGGAGGCAGGGAAACAGTGTTGTGCCTGCTCTTATACCAGCAGGTCGGGAGACTTCTGGAGCACCAGGTTCGTTCTTACTTGTGTTTCTCCATTCCCAGTCTTTACTCCCTAGACAGCAGTAAGATCTCTGGCTTTTAATACGAGAGCACCATTCCTTGCCTTAAGGCAAGGAACCACGGGCACTATCTTATTAGGAGCTGGATGGCTGGGCAGGCTTGTGAAATCCTACCAGCCGGCCTCATATTACTTACTGTAATACACTTGATGTTTTTATTCATGCCTTTTTGTTTAGGGTAAGTGGATAAGCAAAGGGCTCTTGCTCATAATCAGCCAAAATAATGGGAATCTGCCCTGTCTTTTCTGTGACCTCAATCAATCCCTGTTTCTGAGTATTTCTCTACCATTAAGCTCTGGTGTAGCTTTCATTCATCCATTGTTTCCCATGGAATCTGTCTTACACTGTTGTGGATTACCAGCAACTAGCTTGCCAGGTAGAAGGCAGAATGCCGACTCCACAAGTCTAGACGGCATTTTTAATGAGCTCGAGGCAAACTGTTGGATGGATTGCAAAAAGGAATGATTGACAGTTTCCCTTAAGAATTTGTATACTTAGCAGTGAATTTTTTTCCCCTTCCCTTGGCATTTTAGTGAGGGTCCACTGCGGATTGACAGTCTTTCTCAAGTAGGAGGTGCTGTTCATCTTTACTCTGCAAGAATATTTTATTGTAACCAATGGAAAAGAATGCATGGAAGTGATAGCGTGCTTCCAGAAGAACATCAATAATTAATTGGTGGATGTTTTAGTGAAAACAAAGCTAATGCTTACTGTCAGGCACCCTATTGATGTCCAGTAAATATGGATGACAGTGACAGCTTTTAACTCTTTCGGCCACCTAAAGCTGTTATGCAAGAGGATTTAGAAACATCCCAAATTCTGTGGGTGTATTATTTATGACAGCTGGCCACAGGTTGTGGCTCCAGGAATAGTTCCTTTTGAAAAGCAAGAATGTCTGGCATTGAAAGCTTATTGTCCTATATGTGGACCTTGATAGACAAGAAAAAATACAGGTTTTCCAAAGTTAGGACGAGGAGACTAATTTAGATGACGTTAAAACATTTAGCCACAGTATTTAAAGCAAGAAAAATAATTGCAAAAACGCAAATCATTTTTTAACCTGCACTACATTCTAAACAATTTAAATGTGAGACCCAAACCCCATGGGTAGGGCATCTATTAGAGTGGGACACTTTAAAACATATTTAGCTTTCTTTTGGGCTCCATAAATTTCAAGTATTGCTTTTCTATTGGTGGAGCTCTGTCCACCTATTTACATGGAAAATGCCTTTCAGTTGTTAAAACAAAGCAGTTTCTCAGTAAAAAAGTTGGATTTCTGTCTTTGAGGTGATTGATTTCATGATTAAATATAATAGTACTAAATTTTGACATCCTTTTAGAACTTAAGTCTAGAATTTCAGAAATGTTAACTACCGTTTGTATTCGTGGGGTTTTTTGGTTTGCTTTCAGCCAATATTTGCCCTTTCTACCCAGTTTTAGGGATAGAAATAGTAAAATTCCAGTGTCTTCGTTGGTTATTTGTTTTTAATCCCTGTTCTCCCTCCTGCAAGGCAGGTTTGAATCCCGACCATTATAGATGTCTAATGTCATGTGAGAGAGTAAATAAGTACATGTTCAAGACGACCCTGTCTGTAATTTAGCAGACACTAGCACAGCAAAGAAAAGTGTCCACAGAATTTGGAGAATCCCTTAGGAGTAACAGGGTCTGATTTTTACCTGGCATTTCTGTCCACATGTGGATATAAACAATTAATGGAGCTGTATGCAATTAGCAAATTCTCGAATTGTGTTCTGGTTTGTTCCTCTCCTACCCAAACAAACAAACAAACAAAGAGATTCTGCTTTTGGTAGCTACTTACAAAAACACCTAAGATTTCACTAGAATTTATAGCTCCATCCTCTGCTTTGGTTGAGGTCCACCTATACTTACACATTGTTGATGGCTAGTGTTTAAAAAAATCAAATCCGAAACCAAAATCTAGTTCACCAACAAAACTATTGTTTTCATTTTCTTTCTTGCTCAAGGGCTTAGACCTTGAGTTCAATAACTGATACTTTACATACTTTATTGATACAAAAATATCTTGCATACCTTAAACTTTAGAGTCTAAATGAAGTGTTTTCTCATTGCTTATGGACAAATGTATAAAATTCTAAATATCTTAAAATGGTCATTTAATTGAAACGTAATGTGTACATTCTTGATGGTAAAAACTGGAAGGGGGGGGGAGTATGCCAAAAACAGAAAGAGTGAGGATAACTGTCAAGAGGAGTGAAGGGAATACACCATCGAAAAAAAGACTATCTCTGACCAAATGGGGGAGAAAGGAGAGGGACTCAGTTGAATGGAGTCCAATCCCTGGTTGGTCCTGACTTTGGGAGATCAGGATTAGGAGCCACACCTTAGTTTTGACAGCAAGGTCGGAACTGGGTTCTGTTACGAGAAAGGGAGGGTAGATTCGCCAAAGCAGAAAGAGCTGAGGAGCATGTGGTACCCCAGGGCTGGGGCAAAGGCCCAGTGGACCTGCTCCCGAGCACTAGACTGAGTGACTATAGCCTCTGATGGTGGTAGAAGTGACAGATGTCTAGTTGACAAGTTTTGTTTAATAGGACCAAAGGAAAACAAATGTTGATAGTCTGACTTAGCTTTTAAACAGTAGTAGTCATTGAAGCCAAAATTTGTTGGTAAATTTACAGTATGGTACATGGTAATCTTTAAACATGTATCAAGAAGTTAGATGAGTTCATTAGACTAGTCTAATGCTAATGAAAATGTTTTAACCAGAACAATAATTCTCTGTAAGGGGATTTTTCTTAGCAGTTGGTCACTGAAGAATGCATTGTCTGGCTTTTAGTCCTGATCTTAATATGAAACTGAGAAAAACCATGAATTTCTTGGGAACTTAAATTAGTCTAGAAGTTACCGTGATAAATTTGAGCTTTGTGATGCTTGTTATTGTTCTTAAGGATTGTTTTCCTTTGTGTATGCTACAGATGAGCTATAGGGTTTTGTTTTGTTTTTTCAGCAATGTAGATAATATCTCAGTACTTACTGAGGATCCGTGCTGGAGTCTAGGGTCCTGCACCAAGTACTAGAACTATGGTACTAAATCTCGTAGATGGGCTATAATGGTAACCCTCCTAGGATAACACCCAGGACCCTTGGAGGGGTTTATGGAGGGGCTAAGCTGAGCCTGGACTGAGGTCTGAGCAGAAGACCGGCAACTGAGGCAAACAAGGAGGCACGAACACTCCTGATCTATTCAGGGAATGATTCCAGTGACATGGTAAAAATCCCATGAATAGGATTTAGACTTTGTTTAGTTTTTCTGTTCTTTGATGTTTTTCATTTTTTGCATCTGTTTTCTTTCTCTATTTTAGTGATGCCTTAATTTGAAGCTGGGTTTAACAAACTGCAAAGAAGAGGAAATCAGATCTAGGAAGCTTTTAGCCTTTGAACTAATTTGGCTTTTTTTTCCGTTTGTACTAAGATTTTATTAGATAATCATGATTGGAATCATCAGGTGCTAATAACAAGAATGAAAATTATAATGGAACAGGCCCAAATAATAAGCCTACTGGTTTGTTATCACAGCCTATGATTAAAGTAGAACACTATTGAAATATTGTTAAGTTAAAGGTACATTTTAGTTTTTAAAAAACAAACATTAGTAACTTTAGGGATGGAGAATTTAGATGTGGGAATAGGAGAAGATTTATTTTTATAAGGTAATTTTTATCCTGACAAGGACTATTTTTGAAAAGTGTTTTGCACCTAAAATTTTTAAGTGAACATATTCAGTACAGTTGGGAAAGTTAAATAAGCAATATACTAAATAGTGAATTTTTTTGATGTGAATTTTATTTTTCTCTTAATGACATAAGATAAGGAGATACTGAATTATGAAAACTAGAATAATGAAGGACACCAAATGCGTTCATTGGAGATACGATGTTTGCAAGTCTGCACTGGAGCATTGTACCTTTTTTGGACTTGAATTATAGCTCTTAAAAAGGCCAAATACTTACAATGTAATTAGTATAATCTAATCCAATATAAACAAAATACCAACGGCAAAATTTCTAACAAGGTTTTTTAGTTGGCAAATAGACACGCAGACTTAGCCAGAAAGGATTTTTAACTGCAGCTTTAATGGACTTATTTTACGGGGCACGTGGGTGGCTCAGTCAGTTAAGCTCTGACTTTTGATTTCGGCTCAGGTCATGATCTCATGGTTTGTGGGATCGAGCCCTGCATTGGGCTCTGCACTGACAGCACAGAGCCTGCTTGGGATTCTCTCTCTCTCTTCCTCTCTCTCTACCCCTCCCCCCACTCACAATCTTTCTGTCTCTCAAATAAACTTAGAAAAAATTTTTTTACATTAACTTATTTTAGGGAAGTTCACACCCCCTTTTCCCCATCTCCCATCCCCCCGTCCCTCACCCCTAAAATAATAAGATGCTAGGAATCAAAAAGCTCTTGCCTTTTCCATTCAAATCAGTTGGGGAACTAGTATTTGAATTCTGATGCTACCATGATTTCTCAAAAATTAGTGGGAACAAATCAATCTATATACAACACTACCTTTTTTTGTCTCCTTTGCAATGTAATATACAAATCAAGACAATATCAGGGTGACAGGTGAATGAACGTAAGTTCTCAGTTTTGTCTATTCCCTAAAAAAGTATACTGCCCTTTTTTTCCCCAATTGTTCAAGGCTAATGACTTTTGGGAACATGTTTTATACCACATATATCTTTTTTTTAATTAAAGCAAGTGCCTTGATGCCATTCTATATAAATCATGCTTAACCCTCTATGGGATGAGAATGAGTTGATGGATTGCAGTCTATTGCGGGGGGGTTGGGTAGTTGGTTAATAGCAGATGTTTTTCTTCTGGAAGGATATGTTCATTTTGTTTATTATGTAAGATCCTGTATGTGTTGAGATCTAGAGGTGTCATTTCATTCTGCTAATAAATTGTTAATGCTAATAAAATATTACTCTGTGTCTAAATTATTTAAGTGCTTCACTAAGAAATACATTTAGGTCACCAGTGATCTTTAAAATACCATCTCTTTACATTTGGACAGGGATCCATCCGGTCATTAATTTTTCCCAACTATGACAAGAGGATCTGTCCTTACAGAAAGCCATAATGCATAAAGAAACCCAGTTCTTTTGTCTTTGCTTTGTGATCCTGAGTGAGTACATTAACCCTTTGGGGACTCAATTTTTTCATCAGTGAAGAGGGGAGGAGCACTGGATTGCTTGAGGAACCTTCCAGTTCTCATGTTGCCTGACGACTACTACTCTGTACCATGTTGGAATCCGAAAACCCCAAAATGGCTAATGTCTCACTAGTCCTAACTCTGAATTTCAGTAAGTGAATTTTGCGCCACATTTTCCCCGTCAGTAAGCAGATGCTAACACCTTATACACAGAATGAAGGAGTTGGACTGAATGGTCGTCTAAGGGCCCTTCCAATCTTGCTGTCCTGTGTACTCACCCTGTCTGCACGCAGCACCTGGCATGCAGAGCCTCGTGAAGTGCCTCACACACTCTGTAGCATCTCTGCAGGTGCCTTGGAGGGCTCTGCTTCCCCATCTGTCCTTTCAGTGCTCATGTTCTTGGTCTCTTCTCTCCTCATTTAGCATCATTGCTCGTTTTTAATTTTCAGATCTGATTGAGACCGATGAAAGTATGACTCTTGGAGAAATACCACATGTGCATGTAAAAATATCCACATTATTAAAAAGGTTGGTTCACAGACCCCACGTCATGACCATTTTGCATTATAAACTCTCTCAGATGACTACATCCACGTCTATGGCTTCCGTTGCTTTATTATCTGCATGCTCGTGGCAGCCAAACACGATTTCCAGCCTTTCTAGATAGAACACCAATCAGCCTGTCTATATATAAATCTCCAGAGCTGTTATTGGACAACTGTGCCTGGGTGCCCAGAGGCACGTCACATGCAACACATCCTCAAACTCCTCTTTTCCCGTTGACCTAGCTTGATCATGGCATGACCCAGCAACTCAAGCCAGAAACCTGGGAAATCCTAGAATATTCCTCTTCAATTCAATCACCAAATCCATCTCTTTCAACAACTCTTTCTTGCCCTGAATATTCATTTATCTTCAGGACTATGCCACAGCCTGACTAGCTAATCTGTTTCTCCACCACTCAGCCTCCACACTAGTTATCAATTATTTGCTAAAAAAAAAAAAAAAAAAAAAAAAGAAAGAAAGGACCTTTGCTATTTCTAAGTGGTTCTCTAGTGTTTGCAGAATAAGTTCAGAACTAATGCCATAGCCAACAAGGCCTTAAAAACTTTGCCCTTGGGGCACCTGGGTGGTTCAGTCCGTTAAGCATCTATCGCTCAGGTCATGATCTCATGGCTCATGGGTTCAAGCTCCACGTCGTGCTCTGTGCTGACAGCTCAGAGCCTAGAGCCTGCTTCAGATTCTGTGTCTCCCTGTCTCTCTGGCCCTTCCCCACTCATGCTCTGTCTCTCTCTCTCTAAAAAATAAACATTAAAAAAAAAAAAAAAAACTTTGCCCTTGCTTGCATCTTCAACCTCTTGTCCTGCCATACATCCCTTTGCTTGACCTAACCTCTGACCTTAGGTGATCCCAAATGGGCCGTTTAAAAATACTGTTATATACGCTCTTGTTACACTGTTCCTTCCACCAGGAGTTGCCTCCCAGCCCCATACGCCTAGCTTTTTACTAGTCTTTCCAAATACTTCTTACTAAATGTCCCTTGCTCTTGGCAAAATTTCCCACTGAATTCCTCTTCTCTCATGCAGGGTCTCCCTTTGGGCTTCATCTCTGTATATTCTCTAAAATGGCATTTACCATTCTGTTGTTTTTTCCTCTCTCCTCTCCTAACTGGACTCCTTGAAGATAGGGCCATGTATTTCATCCTTAGAGACTTCATGGCCAGCAGTGGGTATAAGGTCCAATGTATGACTATTACAAGCATGGATATATGTTTGGTGGATAGTCAGTTCTCTAACATTGCCTCATTTGCAGAGCATGTCTATCTGTCCAGGGTCAATTACACGGCCTGTGGTTATCAATGGTTGGAAAAAGTCCCTGGTGAAGGGGTAGATGTGCAATGGGGTGGATCACAAGGTGGTCCAAGTCACAGTTATTTCTTAGTTGCCCGAACAAGTCTCACATCCTGTGTCTTTTCTCTCCTTGTCGTCCTTTTCAGTCTCTGCCATGTCAGAGAAATTACACATGGCCGCTTCTAAGGATTCTTCGATTGGCCAAATTTTTCCATTATGTAGTCTTCCTCTGCCCTCTGGTGGCTAGAATATGCTACAACATTCCACTTCAAAGAACTATGGCCTCTGGTAGTAGGAACAATTAAGAGGTATGCAACTTGGGAATACATTATCTGAGCCTATTTGTCCTTTTGCATTGCAATTTTCTGGAAAGATTAAATGATAAGGAGTAAAATGGTTCTTGGCATATAATAGGCAATAATTCTTAGCTTCTTTCCTTTTTAATGAAAGAACCCATCTTAAGAACAGGACAAAGAAAACTTGAATTTTATCTAATGATTAGGCTGGGTAGTTCCAGAACACTAAACCCCAAGATCTGTTAGTGAAAAAAAGGTCTGGCAAGGGAGGTCCCAGCCTCTAAAAAGTACCTGTAAAGTTCCGAATAGGGATGGAAACTAATGACCATAGATAGCATTTATAAAATACATAGTCTTGGCCAGGTATACTTTATCCTCTTAACAGCTCGGCTGAGGTAGATGCCTAGTTCCAGAATATTGGCCTACAGAATGGATTGGTCAACTGGGGTAAAATAAATCCTCAAGTTGGGGACGAGGGACAGGAGGGTCAGGGAGAAATCATGGCCTGATAAAGACAGCAGACTCAAAAGGGATAATATTAGATTCTTTTAGTTTAAAAAGCAAAGCATCAAACAAAAACCCTAATGTCCAACAGGATCAAAGGTTTATCCAGTGTAAACCAGACCGCAAAAGTTCTGTTTTAGATATGATTTCTATCTAATAGGATCTAATTCATATGATACATTAGAGTAAAGAATGTGAGATTTTAAAAAAATGTTTATTTTTGAGAGAGAGTGGGGGAGAGGCAGAGAGAGAGGGAGACAGAGGATCCAAAGCAGGCTCTACACTGATAGCAGAAAGCCCGATGTGGTGTTTGAACCCACAAACCATGAGATCATGACTGATCTGAAGTCAGACACTTAACCAGTTGAGCCACCCAGGTGCCCCCTCTCTCTCTTCCTATTTTTTAAAACAAGTTTAAGCACATATTTACTCAACACTACTATATGCAAGGCACTTGAATAAAGCCTTTCATACCAAAGTCTTGTGTGTGTAAATTCTGCAATACCTTTATATGGAAGGAAACAGTTGAAATTCTTCATTATCAAAGAACAGATGATAGCCTGGAATAATATATTTGAGGCAAAGATACTCATGGAAAACCTTTGCAAATTCTTTTAAATAGAGGACAGCCCCACCCTATCTTCAAGTCATTTTCTGGTAGAATCAATGCTTCAAACAGCTTTTTTAAAAGGTGGCATTGACACATTACACGTGTATATCAATTTATACACAAATGTTTATTGAAGTGCCTATGAATGCCCAGCACAGTGCTAGGCACCATTAAGGTTACAAGGGTCCCTGCTCCCATGGGGCTTACAGTCTAGTCAAAGAGCCACAGAACATTGATAAACATTTAAGTGTTTGACTGGTAGAGACAAAAAGTGCCAAGGACCTGAGAGACAGAAGGGTGCTTAATTCCTCAAGAAAGGCTGGGAGAAAGAGGACTCCGGTTAGTTCTTGAAGGGCCTTATGTTCAGGGCCTACCTAGGTAGGGAGCAGGGCAAGGCATTCAGGTAAAGGCACACCAGCAGACATGGGGTTGGAGTGGAAGAAAACGGCCTATCCAGGAGCAGCACATACACTGAATTGTAGGGAACAAGCAAGCTAGAAACGTAGGTTGTAGCTAACTCTAGAGGGTGCTAAAACTCAACTGAATGATCTAGTCTTTTTTTTTTTTTTTTTTAAGGCATTTAGGGGACACCAAAGACACGTGGGCAGGGGCCATCGCATGATGTCAATAGATCTGACATGTGCAAAGTGGACTTCAGGAGAAGAAAGGTGAGGGAAGAAACTCAAAATCATGTCAGTAACCCTGACACAAAATGGTGACCACAGGTAAGGTGCTGACAGTGAGATGGAACCCCAGGACTCAGCCAGAGGGCACTGTTTTCCTCTCCTAAGTATTAAGGATTTAAAAATATGTATAGTGCTTTGGGGGCGCCTGGATGGTTCAGTTGGTTAAGCGTCCAACTCTTGGTCTTGGCTCAGGTCATGATCTCGTGGTTCATGTGACTGAGTCCCATGTCAGGCTCTGTTCTGTCAGCATGGACCTGCATGAGATTCTGTCTCCCTCTGTCTCTAAAAATAAATAAACTTTAAAAAAATTTTAAATAACGGGGCACCTGGGTGGTTCAGTTGGTTAAGCGTCCAACTTCGGCTCAGGTCATGATCTTACAGTTTGTGAGTTCAAGCCCCGCAACAGGCTCTGTGCTGACAGCTCGGAGCCTAGAGCCTGCTCCAGATTCTGTCTCCCTTTCTTTCTGCCGCTTCCCCATTCACACTCTGTCTGTCTTTCTCAAAAATAAATAAACATTAAAAAAAAATTTTAAATTATGTATAGTACTTTTAATTATACTAGTTTATTGAGAAGAAAAATATCCAAAACAAGGTTTTAAAAATCCATTTAAGCATTTTTTTGTGATTGTTGTTGTTTTGTTCAACATGGAAGCAATACTTTCTATAATTAATCTGCTTTATATGTGTTTCAATTAAAATGACTACAGAAATAAAAATTACTGAATTGCCATGGGTTTTTGAAGTAACCACAAAATTAAGCTGTGTGTGTAGGCCAGGGGAGGGGGCGGGCACGGGGGAGAATCTACCCGACAACACTGACAGGTATTGTACATACCTTCTAAAAATGAAACAGATGTCTCACATATTAGGAATAGATACGAGGGTTATAAAGGTTATCAAGGATATTAATAATATCCTTCTTTATGGAAAAGCAACTTTAATATTATAAATGTGGTCATAAGTTTATACAGTCCTAAATAACTTAAAATCAACTCAGCTCTAGCAGATTATCTCTGAAGAACAAACATAAAGGAATAAAAGTGAAGTAATTTCAGTAAAGGTAAACATAGTGTGCCTTCATCTTAATCATAAAGTCCAGGCTGGATTATCCACAGGTGTGGAGAACAGTGCAAATGATCCAAATAGAGGATGAGCCAAACCCTGTCACACATGTCTTCGCTCCCACAAACTTCCGTCTCACTTTGTCTGGAAAGTGAGAGGTACACTGGGCCGTATGTTCTCTTCCGTGATCCTGATTAGCAGGATTTTCTGATATTATACCATGCCTCCTGCTTTGTATTGTATCTCCTCTTTAATGCACCTCGTATTCCCCTGTGCCCCAGCTCCCTATAAGCAATAAGCCTCAAGTATTACAAGATGTGTCAATATGCTAGGTGACTCCTGTTAATTCTTTGGGCACAGACAGATGTACCTCTACTGAATACCTGGCTAACTGGTGGGGCATATAGGAGAAAAGCTAGGAAGGTTGTAGATTATCAAATCAGCAGAAAGGAGTCAACAGATCTGGAATAAGAACAGCTAAGGCTTTTCTTTTTTTTCTTTTTTGCTAGTTAGTGAGTGGGAGTTTTCAGATGGCCAAACGAAGAGAGAAGTACTAGAATCCAGCTAAACCAGTGGTTCTCAAAGTATGGATCCTGGACCACATCAATATCAGCATAACCTAGGAACTTGTTAGGATTGCAAATTTGGGGGCCCCACCTAAGACCCACTGAATTGGAAAATATGGAGGTGGAACCCAGCAATCTGGGTTTTAGCAAGCCTTCCAAGTGATTCTAAAGGGAGCTAGCATTTGGAAAACACTGAGCTAGACTTACTGGGAAAAAGTTGGCTCTAGCCCCACAGCGTGTTTGACTTTCCTGTGGCCGATCCAATAATCTTTTCTGCACATCGGAATTACCTGGGGAGCTCCACAAACTAATGCCTGTGACCCACCACCAATGATTGTGATTTAATTGGTTTGGGATAAGGCCTGGGCTTTGCAAATTTTTTTGAAGATCCTCAAGAGACCCTAAGGTGCAGACAACTTGGGGAACCATCTGATGAATCAAAAGATAACACACAGAGTAGTCAAATTTCATTTCCAAATACCGTTCAAGGAAGTTTCCTGATTATTTCAGAGGACTGGAACGTTGTCATCAAAATCTTAAAATTTAAGTTCTGTATCCTATCTTTAAAAAAAAAACCAAAACTCACTTTATTCTTGTAAACTACATTTTCTAAATTAAAAGGGACAGTTAATTCCTACATTATTTTGTTTGGAGAAAATCTGTAAGTTTGGAGTCAACAAGAGTTTGTGTCACTTTTCTCATTAAATATTCATCTATGCCATTTAGTTGTCCAAAAACGGCATCAGGAACACCTGCACAAGTGGAAAGGAACTGTCTGAGTTTCTGTACACTTGAGATGGCCTCTGTGATGGTGATTTTTGGCTGCTGTGGTGAAGATGCCTCTCCCTCATCCTCACTTCCAGCTTCATCTGTATTTTCACCAGCCTCCGTGCCCTGGATGACCTCTGTGTCCATCAGATCTTGAGAGATGATAAGGTCATCGTCTGCAGTGACAAAGTCCTGGAAATTTATTTCATTTGGGACACAGGTGGCAATAGCCACGGAGTGCCACAACTCTTCAGTGGCTATCTCTGGTTCACTGGCTGCTGCTTCTGGGCCGGAATCTGTCAGTTCCATAGGGATGATGCCCGCCTTCTGCCAGCATCTCACCACCGTGGACTGCTTGACTGACCACCATGCTGCAGCGATCATGTCAATGGCCTGCCTCATGTCCACTTTTTCTTGATCCTCACTGCTGTGGCGCTTGAGGAGGATCTGTTTCAGGAGGTGGCTTCTATATAGCACTTTCATGGTGTGAATTATGCCAAGATTCAGGGGCTGCAGAACGGCAGTACAGTTGGAGGGCAGGTACCCCACCTGAATCCTTTCCAAGCGTGGCAGCATGTTGTGAGCCGAGCAGTTGTCAATCAGCAGGAGGATGCGGCGTTCTGCCCGCTTCATCCTGGCATCCACTTGCATCAGCCACTCGTTAAACAGGTCCTGCGTCATCCATGCCCACCGGTTGGCTCGGTAGTCACAAGGGAGGGAATGGACATTCTTGAGACAGCGTGGGTTGGCTGACCTACCGACAATCAATGGTCTCATTTTTTCAGTCCCCGAAGCATTGCAACAAAAGAGTGCTGTCAACCGCTGCTTTGCTTTCTTGCCCCCTCTACAATGGTCCCCTTTAGCAGCAAGCGTGTGCTGGGGAAGCAACTGGAAAAACACTCCTGTCTCGTCAGCATTAAAGATATCATCTGGGCTGTAGTCAGCAATCAGTTTTATAATTTCCCCTGCATGCCACTCGTTAACCTTATCTATTCCTAGACCATTCATTAATCTGTCACTATCCTCTCTACAGACTGCTTTCAAAGCAATTCCGTGGCGATCCCTAAATCTGTTCAGCCAGCCCACACTTGCTTGAAAGTTGTCATAGCCAAGCATGTTGGCCAAGTTTAGTGCTTTTTTCCGAATGACAGAACCAGTCACAAGAATGTTTTTGGCATGGATTTCTCGAAACCAAGCAAAAACAGCCTTATCGATGTCGTCATAGAGAGCGTTTCTCATCCTTTTCCGCTGGGGTCCTACGGATGCCTCCCGGACCTTCTCTTCAAACTTGGCGCGGTCCTTTAAGAATGTAGACAAGGTGGAAGGAGTGATACCGAATTCTTTTGCCACATCGCCTTTCCTCTTTCCCGAGTCTACAGCTTCCACGACTTTCATTTTCTCCTCCAGGGAGAACTGCCGACGTTTCTTGTTCCCCTTGTTTGCCATGTCCGCAGAATGAGGGCCAGGCCACGATTACCAGGGCTGTGTGTGTCCCTCCTGCTGGCTTGTTTTGTCACAAGTGTAGAAAGCTGAGGAAACAAAATGGAGGACCTGTCGAGAACCAAAGATCACAGATTCCCCCTAAACGATGGGTCAGATTTTTCAAAATCCTCCTAGGAAATGATAACATAAGGCCCAAATCAAGAGAAAATGGGATTCGTACTGCTGCTTTTGGTAGGGATTACTTATTTAGACTCGTAGCGTGTTTGAAATAGAAGAGATCTTACAGAGGATCTAGTTCACTTACACTTTCCAAGCTTCTGTAGAAATAATAATAATGTCTGCTCTGATATGAGAGTAGATTGAAATAATAGACGGTGAAGAGGTTTGCAAATAGCAGTGTGCTGTATAAATTCAAGGGATTATTTTCTGACTCATTTTAAAAACAGAAACTAAGGCCAAGAGAAGGGCCTACCCAGGTTCATACAGCTCAGATTTCTTGATTCCGAATTCGTGGCATTTCTTCTACTCCATAGTCCTGCTTGAAATGCCAACAAAATGAGATCTTCAAAGCTCTACCCCTATTTGGCTTGGAAGGATTTTCCCTGTGGGGATGTTTGTGGTAGCCACACATTCATTTAGTGAATATTTATCGGTGCCAAGTGGCAAGGATATCGTGATGAACAACACAGTCAAGGTCCCCGCCCTTATGGAATATACAGTATGGTGGAGGAAGATCAACAGTAACTGAACAGATAAATAAGAGAATGATAGAGTGTGATATGGCTATGAAAAAAATAAACATGATCAGGCAGTAGCAGTTTTGCTAATTGCCTGTGCAGAGAGTTTATCATGAGAGTCCTCACAAGACAGGGGGCTGTGACCTTCTACTGTGACTGCAACTTTCCAAGCGCTGACTTCTATCACCACCTCCACACTTATCTATTCATTCTTGGCATCCTCTACGTGCTAAGCACTGTGCTCGATGCCAGCCATACAGAGATGGATGGAACATAGTGCTCACCATTGAGGAGCGCACCAGGGACTCAGAGAAGACAAGCACTACAGTGTATGGAAAACTATAAAAGAGGTTACAGAGTACTATGAGCTAGAACACAGAAGTGGAGATGATCAACTGGGTGGGGCATGGGCAGTGCACTTCAAAGAGGAAACCACTGATGTTGGGTCTGAAAATATAAACAACTAGGAATTCATGAAATAGAAGGAAATGGGTGTAAAGGCAATAAAGTACTATATAAAACAAGATGGCATGGTCAGGAAAAAAAGTCTCTGGAGAAGAAAGCAAGAGCCAAATCATAGAAATTCTAGCTTGATCCTGGGACAGTAAGAGGCCAGAGAGGTCTGTTTATTTGAATGACATGATCATATTTGCATTTTTAAATGTTTATTTATTTTGAGAGAGAGAGCCAGTGTGAGCGGGGGATGGCAGAAAGAGAGAGAGAGAGAGAGAGAGAGAGAGAGAGAGAGAGAGAGAGAATCCCAAGCAGGCTCCATGCTGTCAGCACAGAGCCCTATGCAAGGCTTGATCCCACAAACTGTGAGATCATGACCTGAGCCAAAATCAAGAGTCAGACGCTTAACCAGCTGAGCCACCCAGGTGCCCCAGGTTTGCGCTTTAGAGAGTCCTTTGGTTGCAAAGTGGAGAACCTGATGGTTAAAATCATTTCCCCAAGAGGTGGCCCTAACTCTGAAGATGAAAGCAAGCCAGCCTAATAGGCCATAGGCGGTTGGGATATGTTAATTTGAATGTAAAGGGAAGCTACTGAAGGATTTTAAGTGAGGAGAAAGATGACTGTTAGGTAAAGAATGGAACTGAAGGGGGTCAGAGAAAAGGCAAGGGAGACTAGTTAGGAGGCTGCTGTGTGAGTCCCAAAGTGAGAGAATGGTGACTGGGATTACAGGAATAGTGGATATGGTGAGAAATAGTCAGTTTGGGTCTATGTTTTTGTAGATCTTGCTGATGGACTGCATGTGAGGTGCAGGGGGAGTCAAAAGGTAACTCCCAGATTTCTGGCTGGAGCACTGAGCAATCCCATGGATGGTGGTACCATTTACTGAGATGAGAACTGATTACCGAGGAGATGGAAACCAATTACTGACGATCTACTTCATAAACGTAACTTGTTACTTTGCATGCTTTACACAGCTTACACACGACAGGACTGGGATTCAACTCCTGGGAGACTCGGCACGAAGTCAGTGTTCTGAACACTTATAGAGTGCTACATACCCTGTTCTGGGAACTACCAGTATCGAGAGGAGACACGGAAAGAGAATGAAGCAAGAGCCAAGCCAAAGTCTCGTAGGTCAAGCTAAGTTTGAATTTTATTCTAAGTGAATGAAAAGACACTATGTGATCTTAAGCAGAAAGTGACCGAATCAGACTTAACAGTGCAAAAAGATCACTCCGCCTGTTGTGTGGAGAGCAGATGGCAGAGCTACAGGAGAGGAGGTGGGAATAGACTGCATCAGTCCAGGAGGAAACAATGGTGACCAGGATGTTGGTGACAGTGGTACATGAGGAAAAGTATGCAGATTGGAAATACATTTGCAAGACAGTGAGGGTCGTGCAGGGACTTGTACAAATGTGGAACATTCTGTGACACTGGCGGGAAAATAGTATACCATTCTTGTCTGATTCCAGACCGTCTCCACTTGGGTCATTCGGCTAGGTTTCACTTCAGGAATTCACTATCATAACTGTGTGTGGGGCGGAAGGACGGATTGGGGGCAGATCACCCGGGTGAGAAGGACAGCTTGATGCGGCACTAACAAGTAAGAATCCTATCCTGAAAACGCAGGGACAGACTGGGCAAGGCTGGGGTCAGGCCTTGAACACCGTGCTGAAAGGGAGGTGCTGGGGCTCCGGAGGGCCCGACGTGGCTTTGGGAGGTGAGGCGTGGCCTCGACCTCTCACGCTCGGCACAGCCCCGCCCCAGTTACCTGAGCGCCCTACGGCAACGCCCGAGGGCTAAGCGGCCCCGGCATCCCACCGCGGGCGGCCGCAGCTTCCTCCTCCTCCCGGAACTTCTAGCCGGAAGCAGTCCGTCCGCCTTACCAAGCCCCCTCTAAGCATCTAAGGAGTTCCTATGGGCCCGCCTCTCGACTAGGGCTGGACTGTTGCGCTTGCGCAAAGGGTCGCACGCAGTCACGCGCAGGTGGCCGCTTCCGGCGCGCCGCGAGGGCCGCCGGGAAGGGTCTCCCTGGCGATCCGAGGTGTGCTGCTGCCGCTGCTGCCGCCGCCGCCGCCGCGGAACCGGTGCTGCGGCGACGCCCGCGTCCCTGCTGTCTTCCTCGGGTTCCCCGGGGCTTGACCCCCGGGGCCCTCGGCAGGCGTCGGTGAAGAGCCTGCGGAGCTAACCTGTGCTCCCGTACCTGCCTTCCACGACCTCATATCGCGACTCCGAGGAGGGGGAGCGAGAGGAGCTGTCGCGACTCCGCGCCGTGTGTCGCCGGGCGGGGCCGCGGGGCCGGGGCTCCTCCAGCCCCCGGGATGCGCGCGCGAGCCCTCGCCTCCACTTCCTTGTTGCCGCTGTCACGACTGGAGCCGCTTCTCGCCGACAGCGGGGAGCGCGAGTGCGCCGGCCAGCCCCCTCGTCGTGCCCTCGGGCCGGACGCCTCCGGGAATGTGAGCCGCGCGGCGTGCACGCTCCTCCGGGTAAGTCCCGCCCTCGGGCACCTCGCTGCACTGTGCCACCGACCCGCTGGGCCACCTCGAGTCGGGTCCTGCGGCTCTCGGAGCCCTGTTGCCACTTCCACAGAATAGGAGCAGTAAGCCTTAGTGTTCTTCCGCATTCGGAAGGGACGTCTGAGACCCCGAGAGGGGAAAGAACTAGCTCAAAGGCGAGCCATGGCCCCTAGTCGAACCGTCAAAGGCCATCTCGTGAGGTTATGAGGAGCATCTGAAAGAACAAAGTGTCTCCGATTTCACGTATTGCCCTTAATCCTGTTTTACAGATGAGAACAGTGAGGCTGAGAGAGTAAGTAGGTTTCTCAAGGTCATAGAGCTCTGTGTGGATGCCGTTAAAATGGGTAACTTAGAATCCTGATCTTTTGCCTTCTAGAGCCCTTGGTTTTAACCTTTATATTATTCTGCCCTTTTTTGCACTGGTGTATTGAGGCCTAGGGTCTGAAAATCATCTTGGACCCAGGTTAAAATGGGGTAGTCAAACAAGCAAAAACCCAGGGCAATCTATTCCTGCCCCCCACCCCAAGGTGGTTGTAATGACTGTTTCCTAAATTGTTTTTGCTCTGGGTGCTAAAACCTTATCTGGCATTCTTTACAGATGCTTTCCTGCAGTTACTGCTTTTCTTTGCAAGACTCTCAAAGGCTGAAAAGTCAATTGATTAAGGGCAAAAAAAGGACAGTACCTACATAGCCTTGATTTGAATTCTAGCTACCCTTACCCTGTGAAGGCACTGGTCTGTTAACTTACCCAACCAAATTGTGGGTTATATTCTCTTCCTGGGTTGCACTGTGACAGAATGAAGGGTTTATTTGTTTTAATGGGAAGGGAAATCATTAAAGTGACACAGAATGAGAAAGAATAATGTGTTTTTGGGAATAATGTGTTTTTGAATGGGGGTGTCTTTAAAGTTTTAGGTGACACATTGTTTGTCTGCATTTTCTAGGGGAGGGTTTTTAGCTTTCATAGCATTCTCAAAGGTATTCTTGCCTTCCCCAAATTTAGCAGCTTACCTGTTTCAGCTTTTTCATCTCTCATAAGGAACAACTGAAATTCGGGGTGGAGTATCGACTTGTCTGAGATCACACGGTTAGAGTTGAGCCTTGAAGCCAGGTCTTCGTGCGCTGCTCAACATGCAGTGCCTTTTTTCTCGTTATACCTTAACCAGGTAACCTCGTCATTTGTGGAGTGAGGTTTAAATGAGATGTGAGTGGGCTTTGTAATACACAGATGTCTCCTGTGTTTTCTGCTCCGACTCCCTCCTCCCAGAAACCGAAGTTCTCTTCTGACAGATTTTCAGGAGCAACAACAGTGTATCATTTCTGTCTCATAAAATTGAAGTGGTTTCTGGAAACCTTTCTCCCTCTAAGGATGGAGGCTTTTGGGTAAAACTCCTACTAAGAACGTGGCCATAGATATACCAGCTCTTGTGGCCACAAATATACTAGCTCTTCTTGAACTCGTCATTCAGGTTTTTTTGTGCCTTTCTTTTTCTAGCAAAATCTGTTCATAGATTTTCTGTTTCTTAGGCCGGACAGTAATGTTGGTCTGTCAGATTGCCGTTTAAACCTAAGCTGTCCAATACTCTAGCCATATATGTGGCTAATTTAAATTCATTACAGTTAAACAAAACCAAATTAATTTGGTTCCTCAATCATATTAGTCATATTTCAGGTGCTTAGTAGCCGTATTGGAGAGCACAGATACAGAACATTCCCATCATTTGCAGAAAGTGTATTGAACACTGCTGGTTTAGAGGATTGCCAGTGGAGATGGGGAGCAGTGTAGTATAATGAAAGAAGGCTCGGAGAGTTGGCTTTTTCAATTAAAAAAAAAATCTGTTAAGTCCCTATTTGGGTGTGGTGGCCTTAGGCATGTCATGAAACCACAGATTATTAATCTCTACTAAGGAACCCTTTATTTTGTGTAGCACTTGACTATTCTCAAATAGACTTACTTCTATGGTATCCTTTGAGCCTTATCACTGTAAATCTGTAGCAAAGGTGGATGAGACATCTTTCTTTTTATATGTGAAAGACTCGAACCTGAACTAGCTGAAGGACCTACCTGCTCAAAGTCACACAAGCTGGCAGAGTGTAAAGAAATCTATTACATACAGCCACTTACTGCGTGTCTGAATGAATCATTGAAGCAGTTTGCTTAAGGTAATGAAACATGAGAGAGGGTCCAGAACTTCTGACTCCTGGCTAAGTATTCTTTTTACCTGTTACCATATGGAATTCTTATAATGTGGGGGCCATTCTTTGAGTTGAAGAATTATTACGTCCCATGAATAATTATAAGCAAATGGGCTGTCTAAGCTAGTGATCCTAAATTTGCCTAGTCAAAGGAATCACCTGGGACACTTGTTAAGCATGCAGATTTCCATACCCTCTGGAGATTTCAGATTCTGAAAAGCTGAGGTGGAACCCTGGAATCTGTATGTTTGTTAAGTACTCCGCCCCCCCTCCTCCTCCCAGTGCTTCCTAGGATCTGCTGAGTTTGGGAAATGACTGAACCTTAAGGGCCTGGCAGAGATAGGGGATCACTGGATCAAGTGCCTGCTGTCCTTTTTAGGACAGATTCTTGAAACTTGTTTGTGTTTGCCTTTGCTCTAGCCATGGATGCATCATATGATGGTACTGAGGTAACTGTCGTGATGGAGGAAATTGAGGAAGCCTACTGTTATACCTCTCCTGGGCCACCCAAGAAGAAGAAAAAGTACAAAATACATGGAGAAAAGGCCAAGAAACCCAGGTTAGCCAACACCTTTAGGTAGCTGACATTTATAAACACAAGCTGCTTGGAAAACTGTGTTGAGGAAGACCTTGGGCTGTGTCCAGATTCTTTGAGAGTGCCATGTCTGTTATTGAATGGGTGTGGTGTTGTGGGGAGAAGGGGATGGGAAGTAGGAAGTGATACCAGCAATTGCCATTCCTGGCCAGATTATGATCATGTTTTCCTGTCACTGGAAATTGTACTATACAAATGGTGGAAGCTATGTACAAATGAACTGTGTTATTTATTATTGTCATTGTCGATACTGAAGCATTTAAAATCGGGCATTAATAAAAATACAGAATCATAAACAGTATCAGCGATGTCTATAAAGACTATCCATACTGTAGCTCTAATCTCCCTCTTAATTAAACACTCCAAACTTCTTGCTGAAGTTACCAGTTTCAGGTTACTTTGGTAGTTAATTTACTTCCCTTTCTCAACTCTGGGGAGGTGCTGTTCACCAGTGAGATGGCCAGAGGCTGTGTAGAGGAGTAAAGCATGTGAGTGATAACCAGATTGCGATCAGCCCCCTAAGTAACCTTTCCCTGAGAGAGGAGTGACAGGGCACTTGTATATCTTTGCTCATACTGGCCTTTAAAGCCAGTCATTCCTGTAGAAAATGCGGTCCATTGAAAAGTGAATCAGACAAGCGTCTGCTTCCAGCTTTCTGGAGGGAGAAACCTGTACACCATCTGGGGCTGTTATTTAAATGTTTGTTTGCTTCAGTCCCTGTTTGGTTAAATCCTTTGAAATAAAAAGCTAGGTTTTTGCCTCTTTACTGTCAAACCCTAACACTGCAGTATTTACTGGTTGAATGAGGGAAAATCTGAAGAAGTCACTGCTTCCTTTAGGTCGGCTTACCTTCTCTACTATTATGACATCTACTTGAAAGTGCAGCAGGAGCTCCCCCACCTCCCTCAATCCGAGATCAATAAGAAGATTAGTGAAAGTTGGAGGCTCCTGAGTGTGGCTGAGAGGAGTTATTATCTGGAGAAAGCCAAACTAGAGAAAGAAGGTTTGGATCCTGTAAGTAATTTTGTTTTCCAACTAATTTCTCCACTGGGTCAATGGTGAAGGCCTTGGGAAGACCAGCCTCCTATTCTCTTGTTTCCTTTTCTTGGGAAAACTTTGAGTCCGTTTTATCTTTTTTTAGTTTTTCTTTTTTAAGGTCTATTCATTTATTTTGAGATAGAGAGCATGCACGTGCAAGGGAGGGGGGGGGGGGGGGGGGCGGGAATGAATCCCAAGCAGCCTTTGTGCTGTCAGCGCAGAGCTCAGCACAGGGCTCAGTCCCGCGAACAGTGAGATCAAGACCTGAGCTGAAACCAAGAGTTGGGTGCTTAACCGACTGAGCCACCCAGGTGCCCCAAGTTTTGTCTTCATGTAGTAGCTTATATAGGCATTTTTCCTGCACAGTGTTCATGTTACTCATTGAACGTAATGAATATGTGTCGTGCTGGTTGCTATCAGTTATAACATAATCAGCAGTTGGGCTTGGCTTGCAGAGTTTAGAAGTAGATATAGCTGCTTTGTATAATGTCACATTCTTCTGTTACCCGCTGGTGGTTGTGCACTGTGCCAGAAGCAGAAATGCAAGGTTAAAGCTGAAGATGATGGAGGAGACTGAGGCTTGAATTAAAGAATACTCTAGAGTGCCTTCCAGTTTGTGCCTGTCAGCCATTGTGTATTTCTAGTTCATAGTAACAAAACACACTGGCAACTATTAATAGGGCTGGCTTATTTTTGTTTGTTTGTTTTTACTCTTTTTTAAGAGAAAGAGCTAGAGAGCACGAGTAGGTGAGAGGGGCAAAGGGAGAAAGAAAGAAAGGGAAGAGAAAATCTTAAGCAGGCCCAAAAGAAAAGAAAAGAGAAAATCTTAAGCAAGCTCCATGCTCAGTGTGGAGCCCAATGTGGGGCTTGATCCCATGACCTATGCCAAAATTAAAAGAGTCTGGATGTTCGACCAACTGAGCCACCCAGGTGCCCCAAGGCTGTTTTTTGTTCTGTTTTGTTTTTAACAAATTCCTGCAGGAAAAATAGCCTTGTTACTGCAGGGTTAACCTTAACTCTTTTTTTCAGTTGAAACATTGTCTCTACTTTCTTTTTCCATAATATAGAGCAAAGGTTCTTCAGGAATGCAACAACTGTGTTACAGCAGAAGAGGTTGTGTTTTCCCTTAGTGGAGCCGTCTGCCAATGCCATTTAGATTATGTTGTCCTTATTGGCTTGGCATTCCTCTTCTGGAAGAGTTTTGTGCTATCTACGGTCTTGGAGATACCACTTTGTATCCCCTCCTTTAGATGATTTGTTTATAAATAACCTGGGAGACAATTCCTGTTGGAGATGGAAAGTGGAATTTAGGAATTAAGTGCATATACCCCTGTGGTTTCCCCATTATAAATTCAGCAACCTTTTGCTCTGATACGAGAAAATTTTCCCTATTCCCAGAGTGATAATAGCATTTAAAGGTAGACAGTAATATAGGTCCTTATTAAGACTTTAAAAAAAAATTTGTTTTTAAATGTTTGTTTATTTATTTTGAGAGAGAGAGAGATGGAGAGCGAGCAGGGCAGAGCCACAGAGAGAAGGAGACAGAGAATCCGAAGCAGGTTCTGCACTGTCAGGGCAGAGCCCAACGTGGGGCTCAAACTCACGAACTGTGAGATCATGACCTGAGCTGAAATCAAGAGTTGGACTGAGCCATCCAGGCACCCCTTGTCCTTATTAAGACTTAAATTTTTTTTTTTTTTAAGTAAATCATCTGCAGTATCCACATGGGATTTTATATATTTACCGTCATCTCTGCCACTACTGCCAAGAACATGAATAGATTATCTCTGATATTAACTAGCTGTGACCTTGGAAGAATCACTTAATCTTTGAGTCTTAGTTTCCTCATTTATAAAGTGGGGAGTAATAGTAACTGCTTACAGTGTTTAAAATAGATAACATAAAGCATCTAGCTGAGTCCTTGGCATGCACTGCCTTGGTCAATAAATATCACTCTTTACTAGGTTAAGAGTCCAGTGGCCACATAATAAGAAAAGGTGGTATTTCATGAGCATCTGAACGTGCCAAGACTGGGGAAGGCTTTAGGTGCTGTGTTTGAACTCGTGAAGGTGAGACCCTCCTGCCTGCATACTTTGAAAGCCTGTCAGAGACTTTGTGGCAGCTCGGCGTCTCGGCAGCCCTTCCAGTGGCTTGCCAAGTGGCAAGACCCGTGGTTCCAGCGTCATTCAGGCCGGCCTGGTTTCTCTGTGCTCAGATTTGTTGATTAAGTCCAGATCATTCTTTGCATTTGCTACCACTTAATCTTGTTCTCCTGACCTGTCTGCTTCAAAGGGTGACTTGAGAATGTCATTTCTCCATTATCTCTCCAGTAAAGGCTCCATAAAGGATTTGGCCTGTCTGCTTTTATGTTTCATCTGAGTGCTTCTTTTAACTTTCATCTCTGAGTGCTTCCTTTGTACCTTAAGTAGTCTCATCGACTTCTTGCTTTTGATTTATTTAAGGATCCTTTTGTAATGGACTTAGTGTTCCTTTTAAAAGATGCATCTGAAATTATTTCCATTTAATTTCAGTTCTCACTTAACTGTTGACTTTGAACTTTTCTGTTTTACTTATTGGGTAACTTTCAGTTTAATTTGAAAAAAGAAAACAAAAGCACCTTTTTCTTGGGTACCAATTAGCCATGAAGGGTTGTGCTTTTAATACCTGGTTTCCTTGCTCCTTAGAAGAGCTGGCTTAGAGTCCTAGCTTTGTTACTTTCTAATTTTGTATTTTAAGAAAATTTGCCTCCCTAAGTTTTGGTAGGAATAATAATAGTACCCAACTTAATAGTGTTGTTTTTAAGGTCGGGAAAGTGTTTTCTAAACTTTAAGATCCTAGTCAGTGTTCATATATCTATCTGGCCCACTCCCCCACCCCCACCAGTATATTCAGGTCCTTGTCAGATATCCCCATCCATACACACTTTGTCTCATGATGTGATCGGTTCATCTTTGTAAGTCTGGGAGAAACCAGTGTTATCGGAATCCTTGCTTGCTGCCTTGAGTTCCAGTTTGACCTGTTGACTTGTATTTTAGGCTTTTTGGGATTTTACTGAACATTGTACATTCTCATGTTTCAATCTTCTGCCACTTTGGAATCCTAAAGTACCAGAGCTGGGAAGAACTCATAAATAGCTAAATTCAGCTTCTTCATTTTATAGATGGGGCAGCAAGACCTAAAAAGTGGAAAGTATTTGCTCAAAACTATGCAGATCTGGGATTCCAGCTCACAGTTTCAAATGCCAAGATCAGTGCCCTTTCAGAGTCTGATCTATTTTATCTGTCTGTCTCCTGTGTGACTGAGCAAGTAAGCTACATTGGTGAAACTGTGATTCAGATGAGGGTGACATTGCTGTTGACGGAGGCTGACCCTAACTAAGTCTTGGGGTCAAGAGAGGAGTCTTTCTGGTACCCTTTTACAGGGGGGAAAAAAAAAATCATCATACATGTATGTCCATGCAGTCTCATGCCATTTATCTCTGCTTGTCTTCCCCTTCCTGGCTTACTCATCCTCAGAACTCTAAGCTCTCTGCACTGACTGCTGTGGTTCCGGACATCCCAGGTTTCCGCAAGATCCTCCCCCGCTCAGATTACATCATCATCCCCAAGAGCAGCCTACAGGAGGATCGGAACTGCCCTCAGCTAGAGCTTTGTGTGGCCCAGAACCAGATATCCCCTAAAGGGCCATCTCTTGTGTCCAGTGCTGCCCCGGAGGCAGTGCCCAGCCATGCAGGCATGGCAGAGCAGTGCCTGGCTGTGGAGGCCCTAGCTGAGGAGGTGGGAGCCCTTGCCCAGCCAGGTGCTGTACAAGAGATCGCTACCTCAGAGATCCTCAGCCAGGATGTGCTCCTGGAGGAGGCTTCCCTGGAGGTAGGAGAGAGCCACCAACCGTACCAGACAAGCCTGGTGATTGAAGAGACCTTAGTGAACGGCTCACCAGACCTCCCCACCGGAAGCCTGGCTGTGCCCCACCCCCAGGTTGGGGAGAGCATGTCAGTGGTAACTGTCATGAGGGTAAGTGACTTTGGTACTGATGTCTCTATTGCTTTATCTGAAATTCCTCCAAAGGCAGCAAGTGCCATGCAGTGGTAATTAAGAGTACTGGTGTGGACTTCTAGTAGGACTACAGTCCTCTTGAACCTTTTTGCCCCCGGGCTTACTTTAAAGTTCTCTTCAGTTTCTTAGGCACTCTTACCAACTCCTCTTGCCCATGATAGCTAGGGTTTTCTTCACATGAGATAGTCCAGAGGTACATTAACAGCATTTAAATGATATGGGCTATCCATGAATCGAAGCCAGGATCTGTCAAGCTGTTAGGATTTTATGTTCCCTGAAGATTGTTTTGGCAAACACAATAGTACCTTGAACTGTTGAGAGTTTTCAGATGGTCTTCCTGGGCATAGAGTGTGTAGGAAAAAGGAAGCTCTACTTAAGGCCAGATCGATGGGACTTACAGTTAAGAGGAGTCTCTCCAGTGGCATAAGTGTCATGCCCAGCTGAGGGGAAAGAGCAGCTTCAGTGATCCCACTGCGTGGCTCCCCTCTATTACCCTGGGTAGTGTTGCATCCTTAGAGAGTAGGAGTTCTGCTTAAGCTGAGAGGAATGTAGGATGGCCTACATGTATGAGAGGAGAGCAGGTACCCCCTTGCGGAGGAATCTGTGGTAGGCCTAAGTCCATTTTGTTTGTTGCCTCCCTGCTATTTATGATAATGAAGCATGCCACCTGCCTGCTTAAGGCAGATTGATAGGGTGTTAAGAACATGTGACAGGGTCAGAAGAGTTGGATTCTTTCACTAAGTGCTTATGTGATTTTCGGAATCCTAAGTCTGTTAGAACCTCAGTTTTCTCATCTGTGAAATGAGGATAGCACATTCTCTGCAGTAACAGTTTTCTCTTTATTCTAAATTAAAGTTTTGAGATGATCATAGATTCATTTTTTTGGGCAAGCACATTGTTGTTATTGGACTTGATCAGTCTTTCAGTGTTGTGGGTGGCCCTGGGTGTTTGTTCTTTATTTCGTCTCAGTAAAACCGTCCTTCTCTCCGTGTGCCCACAGGATCCCAGTGAGAGTAGCTCCTCTGCGCCAGCCACGCAGTTCATCATGTTGCCTCTTCCTGCCTACTCAGTTGTGGAGAACCCCACCTCCATCAAACTGGTCAGTGTGTGGGGAGCTGATGGAGATTAGGGCTCCGTAAGAATTCTCTTCCAGGTAGTTTTGTAAAAGTCCTAGTAACGTTAAGACAGTAGTACCACTGGCAAACTCAAATTATCTGGTCCAGGTATTTACTGGGCAGAGGGGTATGGGGAGGGTCTGTGAATGGGGTGCTGCAGGACCCTTAAACTCCTCAAGTTACATACGAACTTTTCTTCTTAAGAGCATTTACCTAGGATAGGTTCAGTACCTCTTTCCAAATTCTCAGAAGCATACATGATATAGAAAAATTGAGGGGCCAGTGATCTGATTCAATCTTATTACTGTATCGATTAGAAAAAAGGGCCAGGGAAGAGAAAGGACTTGTTCTCCTAAGTATTCAAAACCACTGGGCTGCAGAACAAGCCAGAACCAGGACCCTAGTCTTTTGATTCTCAGTTAATGTTATTTTCCATCACATACTGCAGCATATGGGCTGAGATTTATCCCTAAATATTTCATGTTTTTTTATGCTATTGTAATGTTATTCCAGAGCTTTTTTCTTTTTCTTTTTTTTTTTTAAAGTTTACCTATTTATTTTGAGAGAGACAGCAAGAGTGAGGGAGGAGCAAAGAGAAGGAGAGAGAGAATCCCAAGCAGGCTCTGTGCTGTCAGCACAGAGCCCAACGTGGGGTTCAAGCTCACAAAACTGCAAGATCATGACCTGAGCCGAAATCAAGAGTCAGACACTTAACTGACTGAGCCACCCAGGCACCCCAAAACTGTTTTCAGTATCTGATTGTTCGCTACTAGTATGTGATAATATAATTGATTTTTTGTATATTAAATTTGTATTTTGCAACTTTGTTAAACTCATGTTTCCTGGTAGCCTTTTTGTGGTTTGTTGCATTTTCTACATAGATGATCATGTTGTCTGTGAATAAGGACAGTTTTATTTCCTCGTTTCTGATCTGGATTTCTTATTTCTTATCACCCTGTCTAGGACCTCCAGTACAATTGAATAGAAATGTTGAGAGCAGATATCTTTGTCTTGTTCCTTGTCTTAGGAGGAAAGCATTCAGTCTTTCACCACTAGGTGTAATATTAGTTATAGGTTTTTCAAAGATACCCTAATCAAATTTAAGAACTTCTCTTATATTCCTAATTTGCTGGGAGCTTTTATCAGAAATGGATGTTGGATTGTGTCAAATGTTTTTCCTATGTTTGTTGAGATGGTTGTAGGAATTTTCTTTTTTAGTTTGTTAACGTGGTTAATTTCATTGTTTTTCAAATGTTAAGCCAACCCTACATTCCTGGAATAAACCCCACTTGGCATTGAGGTGTTATTCTTCCAGCATATCGTTGGATTTGTTTTGCTGAAGTTTTGCGCAGAAATTTTGTGTCTATATTCATGAAGGATGTTGGTCTCTAATTTTCTTGTATATTGCTTATCTGGCTTTAGTATCAGGGTAATCCTTACCTAATAGAGCTAGGAAGTACTTTTTCCTCTTCATTTTTCTGGAAGAGTTTGTATAGTATTGGCATTATTTCTTCTTTAAATATTTGATAATTGCTGGTGAAGTCATTCTGGACCTGGAGGCTTCTTTGTGGGAAGATTTTTAACTGCAAGTCCAATTTTTAAAATATGTATAGGACTATTTCGATTATTTTTTTAAATGTTTGTTTATTTTGATAGCGCGTCCATGAGTGGGGAAGAGGGGCAGAGAGAGAGAGGAAGAGAGAGAATCCCAAACAGGCCCCATGCTCAGTGCAGAGTCTGATTTGGGCTCTGAAATCGTGACCTGAGCGGAAATCAAGAGTCGGATGCTCACCCGACTGAGCCACCCAGGCACCCCTAAATTATCTGTTTTTGAGTGAGCTTTGGTAGTTTGTCTTTCAGGGAATTTGTTCATCTCATATAAGTTGTGAAATTTATTGATGTAAAATTGTTCGAAACATTCCTTTATTTTTTTTTTTTAAACTGTGGTAAAGTAGGCATAACATAAAATTTATCATTTTATCCATTTTTAAGGGTATAATTCGGTGTCATTAAGTATATTGACATTGTTGTGGAGTCATTACCAGTATCTATTTCCAGAAGTTTCATCATCCCAAACAGAAACCTTGTACGTATTAAACTATAACTCTCCTTTCTTCCCTCCTGCGACCCCTGGTAACCTCTATTTTACTTTCTGTCTCTGAATTTGCATGGTTTAGGTACCTCATATAATTGGAGTCATGCAAATATTGTCCTCATGGTCTCTCCTTTTTTCACTTAGCATAATGTTGTCAAGGTTCACCTATCTTGTACTGTGTATCAGAATTTCATTCCTTTTTATGGCTGAATGATACTCCATTGTGTGTATATGCTATATTTTCTTTATCCATTCTTAAACATTGATGGACATCTAGTGTGTTTTCACCTTTCGGCTGTTGTGAATATTGCTCCTATGAACTTTAGTGGATAAGTGTCTGCTTGAGTCCTTGATTTCAGTTGTTTTGGGTATATACCTAAGAGTGGAATTGCTGGATCATGTGGTAATTCCGTGTTTAAAATGCTGAAGAATGCTTATCCTTCTAATATCTATAGATTCTACTGCTTTTACTTCTCTTATTGCTGGTAGCAGAAATTTGGGTCTCTCTCTCTCTCTCCACCTCGCCCCCCCCCCCCCACAAGCCTGACTAGAGGTTATCAATGTTATTGACCTTCAAAGAACCAGCTTTTAGTTTCATTGATTTTCTCTCTTGTTTTTTCTATGTTCTGTTTCACTGATTTTTGCCCAGGTCTTTATTATCTTTCTTCTTACTTTGGGCTTCATTTATTCTTTTCTAGTTTCTTAAGATAGAAGCTGAGGTCATTGATTTGAGACCTTTTTTTTCTAATATAGGTGCTTAGTGCTATAAGTTTCCCTCTAAGCACTACTTTAGTGGCATCCCACAAATTTGGATATACTTTCATTTTCATTTTGTTCAAAATACTTCTAACTTATTCTTTGACCCAGAAGTTACTTAAAAGTTTTTTTAATGTTTATTTATTTTTGAGACAGAGACAGAGCATGAGCGGGGGAGGGGCAGAGAAAGGGCGACACAGAATCTGAAGCAGGCTCCAGGCTCCGAGCTGTCAACACAGAGCCCGACGCGGGGCTCGAACTCGCCAACTGCGAGATCGTGACCTGAGCCGAAGTCAGACGCTCAACCGACTGAGCGACCCAGGTGCCCTGACCCAGAAGTTATTTAAAAGTATATTATTTGCTTTCCAAATATTTGGGAGTTTTCAGATATCTTGTCTTTTGATTTCTGATTTAATTCCATTATAGTCAGAACTTTGTAGTTTGTAAGACCTGAATCCTTTTAAATTTATTGAGACTTATTTTATGGCCCAGGTTATGGTTTGTCTTGATAAATGTTCTGTGTGCACTTGAAAAGAATGCGTATTTTGCTTTTGAGTGGAATATTATACACATATCAGATTAGGTCACGTTGCTTGATAGTATTCAACTCTTACATCCTTAATGATTTTCTATTGCCTTGTTTTATCAGTTATTAAGAAAAGACATCCACCTATCACTATAAATAGTATTTATTTCTTTTTCCATCTTTATTAATTTTTGTGTCATATGTTGACTCTTTTATTAAGTACTTAAACCTTTAGGATTGTTATGTCTTCTTGGTAAATTGACCCCTTCATCATTATGAAATGACCTTCTTTATCTCTGGCAATATTGTCTGCTATGAAATTTACTTTTTTTTTAATGTTTATTTATTTTCAGAGAGAGAGAGAGAGTGTGTGTGTGTGTGTGTGTGTGTGCACACATGAGCAGTGGTGGGTAGGGAGGAAGAGGGGGAGGGAGAGAATCCCAAGCAGGCCCCACACTGTCAGCGTGAAGCCCGACAGAGGGCTCGATCTCAGGAACCATGGGGTCATGACCTGAGCTGAAATCAAGAGTCAGATGCTTAACTGAGCCACCCAGATGCCTTGTCAGTCTGAAATTTGAATATTGAGCTTTCTTTGCATTGTTGTTATTAGCAAGTTTTACCTTTTTCCAGCATTTTACTTTTAACCTATTTATCTTTGTATTTAAAGTACTTTTTTTTTTGCAGCAGTATATAGTTTGGCTCTAAGAGCAAGACTTTATGACAACCTTCTATTTTTTAATTGTGGTATTTGGGCCATATACATTTAATGTGATTAATTATATGTTTAAGTTTAAATTTGTCATTTTACTGTTTTTTTATTCTGTTTTATTTTGCTTTATTTTGAATTGGATGTTTTTGATGAATCCATTTTATCTCCTTTATTGGCTTACTAGCCGTTAACTTTGTATTAGTTATTATGGTGGCTTTTTAGGATTAATATTGTACATTGTAACTTATCACGGTCTGTCTTCTAAAACCTTGGATAAACAATATATTTTTAGATGAGAAAGTTGTATCTTAAACAGGAACAACCCCTGCAACCCAATTCAAAGGCCTGAGCCTTTGCTTTCCTGGAAATTGTTATTCTCTCATAATTTAGTAAGTGTCAGCCAGACTCTTCCAGAAAAGCTTTTATAGATAATACTTAAGAATGAAACACCAGCCTTGAAAACTAGCATTTTTTTCCTAAAGTTCTTTCTATAAGCTGCTGTTTAGGAGTCTTTCCAAGTTCATGGGAATTTATTTATAGAACTGACCTAACTTAAATTTTTACTCTGCTTTCTGGTGGTATTCAGAATGAATATTCTGTATGGAGCCACAGTCGGAGTGAAGATCAGAGAAGTTTTATATCCCAGTAATAATAATTTCTCACAAACCTATAGAATCTTCTACAGTTTACTGAGCGACATGTTTCCTTATTTCTTACCTCATTTGTTTTTCAAGAGATATCCATGAAATAGGAAGAATAGGAAGGGCGGGTGATTTTACAGAAGAGGGGATAAGGTGACTTACCCCCAGGTCATCCCGTGTGTCAGTAGTGGAGTTGGAACTTGAAACCCGGTCTCTTTCCCTCTTACCACACTACTTCACCCTCAACCTTGACTTGCTACTATTAGAATCACCTTTTCCCTAGGCATTCTGGCACAGGTGGCCTAGTGGCAGCTTGGTGTTTCTCCAAGGGAGGTTTTTGCTTTTTGGCCAGGCTAGGAAAAATGGGATTAATATCTGAGTAAACATCTGTAAGACACAACAAATCTGACAGGAAAATGTCTCCTTTGCGACATTAATCAAGAAATGGAGCTTGGCTAATTTCTATTTGTAGCCGAAAATAAAAACCCATTGTAATCATTCTGTTCAAAGGGAAATCATTGGAGATGGTGAGAGCCAGTAGCTGAATATATTCCTATGCCGATAATTAAATTCAGTTGCATATCAAAGGACTTGATTTCTGTTGGAATTCCCTTTTTTTTTTTTAAGTGGCCATACTCTATTTTTATATCTCTGAACCCTGAGTCCTAGGTTCTCTGATTTTTAACTAACAGGAATGAAGAGGAAGCAAATTCTTCGAAGTATTTAGGGCTGTAGTGTGCAGCCAAGTGCGTGGAAGGAATCTAGGACCAAGAATCAAAGACCTCTGGGTTCTAAGTCTAGGTGTGCCCTAGATTCACTATACAACTTGAGGTAAAGCATTTAACTGCTCTGAACCTCAGTAGTTACAAATACCTACTTCATAGAATTGCTGAAAGCGTTAAATGAGATATTGGTAAAGCGTTCAGCGCTGTGTGGTGCTTCATTAATTAGTAGCAGTTATTGCTGTGTCTATTCTTCTGATACCTATGTAATCCTAGGCAGCTGTCTTTCCTCATTTGAACCCAGTTTCTTCATTTCTCAAAAGTGAACTAATTGTATCTTAGAGCCTTTCCAATTCTGACCTTTTAAGATACCACGAATTGGCTATTCTTCTACAAACTGGTATCCTCCTGGCAGTTTTGTGCTTATAATGGTCTTCAGGATCTGAGAGGGCTTGCACTGTGGTGTTGATTCTGACCCACTCTTTTCCTTACAGACCACTACATACACCCGCCGGGGCCATGGGACATGCACCAGCCCAGGTTGCTCCTTTACCTATGTCACCAGGCACAAACCACCCAAGTGCCCTATCTGTGGTAACTTCCTAGGAGGGAAGTGGATCCCAAAGGTAAGGTCCATTGGCCATTGCTGCTTTGGAAACCCCATAAAGTAGGCTCCCTGTTCCCCTTTAGAGCAAAGGACTTAAAAAATAAATATTTGTTTTTACTTTCTGACTATACAAGTAAGTCATTTTCATAAAATGTCATCCATAATCTTACACCATCCAAAGAAAAGTCATTATTAACATTTTGTTGTATCTTCTTCTAGTCTTTTTTCTGTGAATACACAAGTTCTGTAGCTTGACCTTTTTTTTTTTTTTTACTTCACATATCATGCCATTAAATATTCAAGACCATTATCTTTAATTGCTTTATAACTTCCTATGAATGACTACACTATGTCAGTTTATTCATTTCCTGTTAAATTTTTAACAATCCACCCTCCACACTGACTGCTTAGTTACTCAGATGCGTAGCTCACATCTGCTCACTTTTTAGCTCAAAGTCCTTTCAGTATCCTATAGCTGCTGTTAAAAGTAGAGGTCCTTAACCAGATATCTAGGTCTTTCATAGTTAACTCGCCAAATGTATACTTCTGTCTCTGTTTCTAAGTAATTGGTGCTTGATAAATAAATGAGCATCAGAGCTGTGCCCCTGTGAAGTTCAGTTCAACACATTGCTTTGTTACTTGTTTTATACTTCACATTGACTATATAAATCATACATAACTTGTCACATTTTTGTATGAGACTGTAAATTGTTTAGGGTCAAAAGAACTAGAATCGTCCAGGATGGGATATAGAGGAGATGGTCTTGAAGGATCAGTGGAATTTGGGTAGGTAGAAAAGGAAAGAGAGAGCATTGTTTTTGTGACAATAACTTAGGCTAGGTTTGTGTTTGTTAGGTGTCTAGCTCAGCAGGGTCCACATTTATCTGTATAGAGAAAACTTCTATAGTGCCATACCTTTTAAGTTCTTTGGGGGCAGTTTCCATAGAACATCTCTGAAAAATACTGGGATGGTGACTTTTGCCCTCTGGCTGAGTGTTGGGAGTTCAGGGCATCACTAATTCCAGGAGACAGAATAAGTTAATACTTAAAAATACACTTCTGGGGGTGCCTGGCTGGCTCATTTGGGAGAGCATGAGACTCTTGATCTCGGGGTCATGAGTTTGAGCCCTACATTGGGTGTGGGAACTATATATGTATGTACATACATACATAAATACATAAGTAAACGGATAAATACATAAACTTTTAAAGGGAAAGAAAGAAAGAGGTATTTGATCTCTGTACCGGATTCCTGGCACTGAGTTCCTAAAACCCTAGAAATTTCCAGAGTGTTAGGAGAGAGAAGAGTGTCTTTGGGAGGATAAGAAAAAAAAGTACACTTCTGGAGTCTGCTTTTCTCCGTTTGAACTTCTGTCTCTCAAGGATTTTAGCTATATAATCTTGGGCAAGTCATTTTATGTCTATTCTTGATTTGGTTTTTCTTTCATTTGTAAATGGAAATGAACAATAGTGCCTACCTCATTAGGGCTTTTGGATGGATCAAATGAGATTATCCCTGTAAAGTGGATGGTACATTCCTAGTATAGATTAAATCCTCAGCAAGAGGTCACTGCTATCATTATTGGCAGTAATAGAATTACAGTCTCTATTACTGCTTTTTACACTATCAGTTCTCAGGGCAGGAAGGGCCCAGTGCTTGTGTGTTTCAGATTTTGTTGAGTTTCTTGTGCTCACCATCTGTCTTGTGCTGCTGTGCAGCCATTCAGTTTCCTCCCATCCTAATTATCCTCCCCAAAATGTACGTCCTCATCTGCAGTAGGGAGATTGAATGGGGTAGTTGGACTCCTCCTTGACCCTTCTTCACAGATGCACAGCAGGTTTGTCACATGATCTTATTTCTGATGCTTTTTTATGGAAGAGTCTAACTCATTCTGTAGCCTTGTCTCCTTCAGGTTCTCTTTTTACTTTGGCTTTCTTTTTTTCTTTTTCGTTTATGTCTTTTTCCCTCCTTTGATTGAAATAACTTGAGCCATGGTTCTCTTTCTGAGAGCAGATTCACGCTGTGAAATCAAATTTTTTTTATTAGCTACTTGTCCCCCATCTTTAAAAAAAAATTTTTTTTTAATGGTTATTTTTGAGAGAGAGAGACAGAGACAGAGTGTGAGCAGGGGAGGAGCAGAGAGAAAGGGAGACTCAGAATCTGAAGCAGGTTTCAGGCTCTGAACCATCAGTACAGAGCCTGATGCAGGGCTCAAACCCACGAACTGTGAAATCATGACCTGAGTCGAAGTTGGACGCTTAACCGATTGAGCCACCCAGGCGCCCGTAGGTACTTGTCCCCCATCTTGATTTGTTAAGTCAGATTCTTTTCTCCAGAGGTTTTTATAGAATTGCCATGTAAAGAGTAAATACTATGATTTCAGAATTTCATAGGATCAGAGTGAGTGAGTGTAAGAAGAAAAAGGGTAACATTTTAGCATCAGTGCACTTGGAATTTTAGGGAAAAAAGTGACTTTGGTTATCAGGCAGTTCAATTTCCAAGTCTCTAGTTGAGGAAAGATAGATTCAAGAGAAGTGACTTGTTAAGTTCATGTAGCTAATTATGTCAGTGCTTTTCCACTAAATCACACTTCTCAGGCATTGCTGGGCTGTTTAGCTGCAGAATTTTAAGATTTCTGGAGTTCTAATTTTTGAAGCTGCAAGTATAAATAGTTTCTAAAAGCTCCAAATGTGTTCATGCCTGTCAGGAAATGACTCACCTTTTCTTGTATTGTTCCAGAGTTTCATACTGGCTAAAATTAGCCCAAGAAACGTTTGGCACAGTTCCCAATGAGTTGGATGGAACAAAAGATAGTATATAAAGCTCTGTAGCCCAAGGCCTCACTCCTTTGGCTCTCTGATGGTGGTAATTGAGGTCTCTGAGCAGGCAACTGGTGGTATTTACCTTCTATCTTGAAAGAAAGTGAAATCTCAAAAGGGTAGGCTGAGTTAAGGAAATGTGAGCTCATTAGCTAGTTATTTTGCTCTGATTCCTTAAATTATTCAGTCTCCCTGAAGAGAATTTTTATCTGCAACAGCCTACTTAGTGGGCAGTGTTTTGCTCAGAGATTTCATTGTAGAGATTTAGCTTGTCTCCTGTTTTTCTACCAACTTTTCCCTCTCCAGCAGTCAGTAAGCTCAGTGCAGTTTACTAGGAATTTTTCTCTGTATTTAACTTGTCTTCACGGACTTATTAAAGTCTAAGTCTAATAAAGTCACACTTATTGTGTGTTAGAATCGGAGAATGCTTTACAGGAGATTTCTTAGGTCATCTATGTTGGTTCTTAACCAGAGGCAGTGTGCTGCCCAGGCCCCTTTGGACGCGAAGGGGTTTTGGTAGTCTGTGACTGGGAGAGAATACTAAACGGTAATAACATCAGCCACAGATGCTAGACTTCTGCAGCATGCAGGGGAATCCTGCACCATGAATTGAGCCCGCTGAAAGACTGTTGTACTGCTGTTGACGAATGGTGAGAGGCCGACCCTCTTGTTTCATGGTAGCAAAGTGAGAGTTCAGGTGAAGGTTGTCTGAGGTGACATAAGTCATTAGATGTGGAGCACAACCTAGATAGAACCCAGCTTCTATGTTTATATCTCTTCATTTATAGCACTTTTCACTATTCACATGGAGTTAAAAGAACCTTCCTGAGACAACCACGGTTTTAAAAAAATTGCTTGTGTATGTAGGTAAATGTATGTGTATGTACGTACGTGTGTGTATAAATAATAGTATATTTCCACAGCATAAAAGCTAAGGCACCAAGGAATTTTTAAAGTAGGCTGACCTGAAATAGTGGCTGGGATTTATAGTGAGTTTGAATATTTTCTAGTAAGTAATTAATATACGTATGAGTTAATTTGACTGAGTGAGAAGTTTGTGGCGTGTGTGTAAGCCAGCCTTAAGACTCACCTGAAAGAATCTGGGACAAAAGATAGAGTTTTCCCTAACAGAATTGGAATTTTTGAGTCTCATCATGTGAGATGTGACTGCATTGGGATAAAGGGAACACCAAGATAAAGAGCTTGGGACTTCTGGGCCCAAATATGGCAACATATCAGCTTCTTTCTAGACCTAGAGAAGCAGGCTTTGAACAAAGGTCAGGTTCAAAATGCCAACTTCATTTGCTGAAACCTAAAGAGGCTATCAATGAGAAATTTGTTAGAACAGCTGTATGCTAACCTGGGTGTTGAATACTGTAGTGAAGGGGACCTGAAGTCTGAAGACTTGGATTCTGGCCAGCTTTGTCTTGACACCTGACATTAGCCTGTTCCTGCCTCTGGGTCTCAGTTTCCTAGTCTGTTGCCCATACGTTGTTGTTGTGAGGAGCGAACGAGAAAAGATTTGTGATGTGTTGTCCACTGTAAAATGCCAGATGCCTACAGGCATTCTTATTTTTTTTTAGGAAAAGCCAGCCAAAGTCAAAGTGGAATTGGCTCCTGGTGTCTCCTCCAAAGGTTCGGTGGTTAAAAGAAATCAGCAGCCTGTCACCACTGAGCAAAACTCCTCTAAGGAAAATGCCTCCAAACTGACTCTGGAGAACTCAGAAGCTGTAAGCCAGCTCCTAAGTGTAGCTCCTCCGAGAGAAGTGGGTGAGGAGAATGAGTGGGAGGAAGTGATCATCTCAGATGCCCATGTTTTGGTCAAGGAAGCTCCTGGGAATCGTGGTACGGCAGCCACGAAGACGCCGGTGGTCAAGAATGGTGTGCCGCCTGAGGTCTCTCTGGGGACAACTGAGAATGACAGTCCAGGACCAGACATACCACCACCAGCTGAGAGGACCAGCACCTCCAGTCCTCTCCCTGCTCCCAAAAAGCCTGCAGGGTAAATGTGTTTATATGTTATAGGATTGTTTTTAGAATAGCAGGTTGGGAAATGTTCCTTGTTTTGTTTTATATCGTTATTAGCATTACTGAGAGAGGCAGCAGAGCCCAATTAATGTTTCCTATTTTAGAGATATGGAAACTAAGGACCAGAGCCACAGAATGATTTGCCTTTCCTCTTACACTCTGCTGTCTGTGCGTTGCTGGCACATTCCTGTGCATCCCTTCTTGTCATTTTCCCAGAAGCACTTGCTAGGATCCTGTTGGTACAGGCTGAGGCCAGTGTTAGAAGCTAGTATCCAATCCTGGATAGTAGATTTGGAAAGAGAAGCCTTATTAAGGTATAGAAAGATTCTTGTCCTGGTGATCAGAGAATTCAGTTCTGGTTGTAATCTGTCTCTGACTTCTGTTTGACCTTGCGCATAGTCACCTCATGCCCGCTCTTTCCTCTGAAAAATCTTGAGTTGGGTATTAGAAAAATCTAATCCTTGATGGCTGACCTCATAAACTTTAGATTGTGTGTGAAGCATGTATAGCCCAGTGCATTGCAGATAGGAGGTGGTCCATAAATATGGGCTATTTTTCCTCCCCATGCCCTCCCTAAAGGCTTGACTGCATTTTTCATGTGACCCCTTCCCAGAGGCAGTGTGGTCTTGTAACTAAAGGCCCTTATTTGTTTATATTAGTGGTTCTCAATGGGGAGCAGTTTGCCCCCAGGGGACATTGTGGCAATGTTAGGAGACATTTTTGGTTGTTAACAACTGTGGGGGAGAAGGGTGCTGCAGGCATCTAGTTGGTAGAGGCCAGAGATACTGCTAAACATTCACAGGACAGGCTCCTACAAAGAATTACCCAGCCCAAAATGTCGATAGTGCCAAGGCTTAGAAATTCTGGTTTCTATTATTTGATTTAAAATTGTTTATTGTTGAATAGGAGATCTATTCACATGATTCAAACTCAAAGGGTATAAGGAATATACACTGAAAAAAATCTCTTCTAGCCTATCCTTAAGTCATCCATTTCCATTTTCCAGACAATCCGTTTTCTCAAATTTCTGTTTTCAGAGATAATTTTAGACATATACTACAAATATGTGTATGTGTATATATATTTTTTCCTACCTTTTTTTATACAAATGGTAGCATAACTTATGTATCTCTACATCTTGCCTGTTTTTATTTATAGTATACTTTGGGATGGTTCTGTATCTTTAGAGCATGAAGCTGTGTAGTTTCGACTGTTCGTTTTAGGCAAGCGTGTCACTTGACAAGAGCCTTCTGTGATGTAGGCTCTGTGCTCAGCATTGGAGCTGCAAGAAAATGTGGATTTTGTTCTGCGGGTGTTTTAGCCTCCCTCATCTGGGAGACTGATATACTTTAAATACTAATTAGAGGCAGATCAGATATTATAACTACACTAGCTGTTTGTATTCCTCACAGTGGGCGCTATTTTGTATTTATCTTCGTAATGACCCCTGAAATAATCTACCCTGAGTTTACTACACTACCCCTCTGCTAAAATGCTATTTGGAGATTGTGCTTTGGTTTCTTCCACTTGGTCCAGAATTTTTAGGTTTCCCTTCTTTTTTTTTTTTTTTTTTTTTTTTTTTTTTCCAGAGTTGACCCGCTCACCCCTGGGCTCAGAGCCCCTGAGCTTAAGGGCAAAGCTCGGGGCAAGCCCTCATTACTGGCTGCGGCAAGACCCATGAGAGCAATTCTCCCAGCCCCATCTAATGTGGGCCGAGGCAACAGCATGGGACTGTCCAGGGCCAGGCAGGCCTTTCCCCTGAGTGGTAAGGGCTGGGACAAACCCGGGAGCGGGGAGCTGTCAGATAGGAAGGGGACAGCAGTGGGGTTGTTGAGAATGGAGATGAGAGAATGAGGGGGACTCTGAATGCATTTAAGTCACCAGTTTGACTTCTGATTGTCTCAGATAAAACCCCCTCTGTGAGGACTTGTGGCCTGAAGCCAAGCACGCTGAAGCAGCTGGGCCAGCCAATCCAACAGTCATCACACAGCAGTGAAGTGAAGGTAAGACCCGTTTTCCAGAGGTAGGGCATCCTGGGGGCAGGCCTGCTGCTCCGAGAACAGGGCTTCTATTTAGTGTCTCAGAGCCATAGGCAGAAGCCTATTACATTGGAGAGTGACCTCTGGAATGAAGTTGAGCATGAATGAGTTAACTTATTTTTACTTACTTTTTTTCTTATTATAAAATGAATGCACGTTTAAACTTTTGACTTGGAAATAATTTTTTTAAGTTTATTTTGTGAGAGAGTGTGCAGAAGGGATAGAAAGAGAAGGACAGAGAGAGAGGGGGAGAGAGAGAATCCCAAGCAGGCTCTGCACCCTCAGCAAGGAGTCCGATGTAAGGCTCTAACTCATGAACTGTGAGATCATGACCTGAGTTGAAGTTGGATACTTAACCCACTGAGCCACCCAGGCGTCCCTTAATTTAGAAACAATTTAAAATTTAGGAAAATAATTGCAAGAGTGAAGACAGTACAAAGAAAGTACCCATGTACTTTTCACTCATAGTTGCTTATTGGTAAGGTATCACCCATTTTGCTTCATCATTTGTGCTCATGTATGTTTCAAAAGTACGTGTAATTTAAGGGAAAGTTACATGGCCTTTTGCTTCTTAATACTTCAGTGTGCATTTTCTAAGAATAAGGATATTCTGTTACTGAAACATTGATACAATACTTCAGTCTGTCATTTGTATTCCAGTTTCGACAATTTTACCCAGTTATGTTCTTTATAGCATTTTTGCACTCCAGTACAGGGTTCATTGTAGGATTAGATACTGCATTTAGTTGTCTTGTTTTTTTAGCCTCTTGAAAAAATGAACGCGCGGTTGTTGTAGAAAATACAGAGAATTCAGTAAGGCAGAAAGAAAGTCAGTCTCTTGTAATCCTGCCACCCAGAACTAACTACTATTGGCATTCTGTGCCCATTCAGCCTCTGAGGCTTTTCCTAGGTTTGTGGGGATTTTTTTAATATAATTTTTTAAAACCAAAAATCATGGCTCTTCACGTTCTAGTTTGTAGCCAGTACAGTCCATTCATATTAATGATAGAGGGTTTTTTTTGGTTTTTTATCCATATGTGACCAGAATAGTTACTATCAAAATTCCCTAAAGCAGCATTTTTTTTTTACTAGACCTCTTTTTTTGGGCCATGACCCTCAATAGCACATTTTTACATCACAGCCCAGTAAACATCCATACCTGTATACATGGAAAGAGTAAGGAAGCTATGCCCTTGCTATATGTGGTTATTTTGGTATTTTCCATTTTGCAAATGGAAATGGTTTCAACTCATTAAATTAATTTCATGACCTGTCAGTGGATTTTGTGGCCTGTAGTTCAAAAACCCTGTTAGACCAAAATGGAATAGGAAACTCGGACTGCCTTCTCCCTTGCAGGGTGCTCTGCCAGGCAACTCCCTTTGTTCCAAATTTGCCCCAAATAGAGTATCAACTGGCTTTTACTTTGAAGGCTGATCTGTCACCCAGATGTGGTATCAGGACTGGATGCATGTGTGATTTAGATCTAGAAGGATCTAGTCTGCTTTTCTGCTTTGTAGATTTCCAGCCTTTAGAGTCCCTTTACTTGGGTAAACTCCAGTCTTCTCTGTAAATAGTTTCCTTTTGACTGGTAACATTGGGTATTTGTTAAAAGTTGCAAGTCCTTTTGCTAGTCTTAGGCCGGTTAAGTTACATGAAATTTTATGTTCTGAATATCAACTTAAATTCGGTATTACAGAATAATTACTAATGCTGTCTTCATCTTTTTTTTCTTTAATAGTATAGAACGTTTGAAAAGTTCATAGATAGTGGTGAAAGGGGAAAAAGTCACGATCTTCCTCTCAACCTGTGACATTTTAGTGAACAATCTTTTCGAGTTCTTTCTATGCCAACATTATTCAACCACATATTTGTGTGGTATGTGACTATTATAAGTTTTTCTCACTTGGTAGCAGTTGTAAATCTGATTCACAGTGTTTCTAGTATGCAGTGTTAGAAACTGCACAGAAGAATGTGGCAACCCTGGACTTGAAAGTGACATTTAAACTTTTGGCGGGCTGGTGACTGCTGACTAGCATCCTAGAGCTCACATGGAGTGTGGCTCTACAAAGTCCCTGGGAAACTGTTTCCTCAAGCTCTTTCAGGACACAGGCCCTCGGGAGTGTGAGGTTTTATAGAAAAGCACTAAATCACTGGTTCTGATCCACAGCTAACAAATGGCCCGGGCAGTCGGACGTCACAAGTAAAAGTTGTAGAAGTCAAGCCTGATCTGTTTCCTCCATACAAGTACAGCTGCACTGTAACGCTGGTAAGTGTGGCCAGGTGATGGGTTGACAAGGACATGGGTTTTGCTTTTAGGTGGAGGGCGAGTAGAAGTCTGAGGGAGGTGGGGAGTGGTAGTTAGGAGTGAGAGTAGGGTCAGGGATAGATCATTGGTTCTGAAGATCCCTTCACTGATCCAGATGGTAGCCGCTGGGTGAATTAGCTAGGTGTTTTGCAGGCGAGATCTATAGCGTGTAGGCCAGCTGAGACCTGGATGTTTCTTGGAGTAATTGGACATGAGAATCCAGTCCAGCTGTAGCATTCAACAGTCTTTGGACCTTTTAGCCTCAAAAGTCTGTTATCCACTGGTAAGTGTGAGAAAGGTCTATTTTTCCCCCTTAAAATAGAGTCACAGTCAGTACTGGCCTCTTAAAGGATTTGAGAAATGCTTTGGGCAAGCATCTTTGTTTAGCCTCGCATTTCCCACAAACCTTTTCCCTCCCCACCCACCTTTTATTTTTATCCTTATTTACTTATTTTATATATCTTTTTAAAAAAAAAATTTTTTTTTTTAACGTTTATTTTTGAGACAGACAAAGCATGAACGGGGGAGGGTCAGAGAGAGGGAGACACAGAATCCAAAACAGGCTCCAGGCTCTGAGCTGTCAGCACAGAGCCTGACACGGGGCTCGAATTCACGGACCGCGAGACCATGACCCGAGCCGAAGTTGGACACCTAACCTTCTGAGCGACCGAGGCACCTCATCACCTTTTATTTTTAACACAGCATATATTAACATCCCAATAAACATCCCAGTAAACAAACAGAGTGGGACTCTGGGGTCATCCTTTTACAGGGGAAGCCACATGGAGCAGTGGAATAAGCACTCAAAGGACTTAGTCCCAAAGTGGTTCTGGCTCTGCTGCCAGCATGCACATGACTTGGGGCAAGTAGGCATCTTTGCTTCTCTGGTCCTCAGTTTTCACCGTCTGTAAAATGCTGCATCAGTTTAGATACCATGTTGGGGCTCTTTTTTTGCTTCTAGCATTCTCTAATTTTATTGATCCTTAGATACCGATTAGCCAGGTAACTTTTGGCAGGTTCTCTGCCTGAATTGAGTAAGATACACAGATTTTGAGAGAGCAGCTGGATTTTTAAAAACTCTTACCTGATAAAGGCAGACAGGTACAGAACCATTCATTCCTTCATTCAGAAAATATTTACTGAGAGCCTGCTCTGGCCAGACCCTCTGCTAGGGATTCTGTAGTAACAAGACAGGACAGTATGGTGGACTAGTGCATAGACTGGCCTGATCCTTAAGGAGAATATCTCCTTTATCCTGAATATCTGCTCAGGTTTCTTTTCTCGGAGACTAATTACTACCTTCTCCATGCCATCTATACCATCGCCTCCCTGTCCCTTTGACTACAGAAGGCCACTGGGGTTACTATCTGGGGGGAGCTTCCCAGGACTTTCTCTTTTTTGATTAGATAGCAGCATGTCACAGGAGCCTAGATGCCAGAGATTTGAGCTTAGGTAGTCCAGAGGCCCTGATTGTCTTCAGAAGGGTGTGGATGCTTGTTCACCACAGTCTTCAGCCTTCTGCTAGAATAGACCTGCTTCTCTCTGCCAGTAGCCTGGACCCTGAGGGCATTTGAATTTCTAACATTTTTTAAAAATATTTATTTATTTATTTTTTTGAGAGTGTGAGTGAACATATAGGAGCATGTGTGAAATTGTGTGGGTGGGGGGGGCGGGGGGAGAGAGAGAGAGAGAGAGACACACAGAGAGAGAGAGAGAGAGAGAGAGAGAAAGGGAGGGAGAGAGAAAGAGAAATCAGTCCCAAGCAGGCTCGGCACTGACAGCACAGAGCTGGACCCGGGGCTTGAACTCACAAACCATGAGATCATGACCTGAACTGAAACCGGGAGTCAGACGCTTAGCTGACTGAGCCACCCAGGTGTTCCATGGCATTTGAATTTCTGACACTAAAGAGTCAGCTCACTTGTTTCACAGATGGGGAGGGACTTGCCAAAATTATACAGGCTGTATTAAGATTGAAAGGAGGTAACTGCAGAGTAAGGATCTTGCATCAAGGCTCTTTGGAAGTTAGTCTAAATCTGGTTTTGCCATTGTCACTTTCTTCTCTGATTTACTGATAGCTGGTCATCCTGGTTTTTGACTCTGCCCAGGTGTAACTTTTGTGGAATTGAATATTGGTTTTACTTTTTTAGGATTTGGGACTCGCTACTTCAAGAGGCCGGGGAAAGTGCAAGAATCCCTCTTGTAACTACGTCTACACCAACCGACATAAACCGCGGATTTGTCCCAGCTGTGGTTTTAACCTTGCTAAAGACCGGACTGAGAAAACCACCAAGGCTCTTGTGAGTTCCTCCCCTAAACACATCCCCTAGCCTTGTGTTGGGCTTTGTTAGTGGACCTGTTTTAGTAGAAATACAATGATTTCTTGGTACATGATCATAATTAGAACACCAGAACTGGAACCAGTTTTAAATTCTGGACCTACCCTTCTCTTTGGGCTTCCTTGTCCTCATTATTAAGTTGAGAGAATTGGAGAACGTTCTAGCCCAGTGGATCAAGAGTTCTTTCACCAAAGAGAATGGGAATACAGGCTTTACAGAGGATTCTTAAGGGGTGCCTCGTGGCTCAGTTGGTTAAGCATCCCCTCTTGATTTCAGGTCAGGTCATGATCTCACAATTTGAGTTCGACCCCTGCTGGTTGCACGGAGCCTGCTTGGGATTCTTTCGCTCCCTCTCTTTCTGCCTCTCTCCCTCTCCTGTCTCTAAAAACTAAATAAACTTAACGTTTTTTCTTTAAATAGGATTTTGAAGAGAGGGACGGAAGGGTTACATTCTTTTAGTTCTGAGACCTGGTGGAGCACTGGTAAATAGTATTTTGGTAAACAGAGAATGCCAGTCCTAAGACTTTGTAGATTAGATCACTGCCTCTCAGGTTCCTTATAGAGCTTTTGGCTCAATACAAAGCTTCACTTCTAGCAGTTTTGGCAAATCTCTGAAGTTGGACCAAACTGTTTGGAGTGTAAAACACATTCCATTTGCCTCATTAGGGCTCATTTTTTATTTATTAGAACCAGGAAAAAATGGGTATTTTCAGAGGTCCTCAGACTTTACACGTGAATTTTTTTTTTTTTTAATGTTTATTTTGAGAGTGTGTACGTGCATGTTCTAGTCGGGGAAAGGGAGAGAGAATCCCAAGCAGGGTCCACACTGTCAGCGCAGAGCCCAGCATGAAGCAGAGCCCAGCATGACGCTCAATCCCACAAACTGTGAGATTATGACCTGAGTTGAAATCAAGAGTCGGGCGCTTAACCGACTGAGCCATCCAGGCGCCCCTCCACGTGTGAATTTCTTTAAGTGTACAGAACGTTACAGTACCTCAGGCAGCAGATGGAATGACTAGGTTGAAGGTAAGAAGATAGATCTCCCTGATCTGCCTTGGGAGGAAAGAGGATGGCGTACAGAACAGGTCAGGATCCAAGGTGGAGTCTGGCCACTCCAGATCTAAGCTGGACTTTGCAGGGTGGATACGATTTGGATGGAAGAGGAAGGCATGCCATACTCCAGGATAAGCATGGGTACAAGCGAAGCGCTAGGGAGCCTGGTGCTCTAATCACCTAGAAGAGAAAGGTGTGTGTGTGTGTGTGTGTGTGTGTGTGTGTGTGTGTGTGTGTATGGAGGAGTATGCAAAATAAGCTGCTTGAAAGGCATATTGTGGCCATATTGTGGAAGATCTTTAACATTAGACCAGACAATTTGTATTTTAGGCGATGAGGTCACATTGAATGTCCTTCATTCATTGTGAGGGCTAGAAGGTTGTGTCAGGAAGGAGGCATATGGGGGTTTGGGAATGGACAGGACTACTGAGGTGGTGAGAACCATTTCAAGCTAAGTTTTCTATGGATATGGCGGGTAGGGCAGGGGAGCTCCTGGCAGATAAATCTTACCCCGTGGTCCCAGGTTTGTTTCCATACTTGAGGTGGTGTTCTGAGGTTATCCTTGTGAGAAAGGGAAATAGAACTAAAGTATGTGGGCACTGATGGCTTAGTGGAAAACACATGGGGACTGGGAATAGAGAGACAGCTGGGAGGACCCTCAGCTGGATGCCATCCCTCTTCTGAGTTTTAGTTTCTCCAGTGACAAAAGCGGGCCAGGTAGATTGTATCTGGACAGTTTATTCTCAGGGCCGTGAACCCCAGAGAAGACTCAGAATTGAGCTTCAAATAATCTGTAAATCCCTGAAATAGCATGTAAAATGGGTCCATAGCTTCCATCACATTCTGTTCCATTGGCTGCTCTCTGCTGGCAGTGAGCTTCCTGGATCTTCTATGCCTTTAATGGGAGGAAAGAGGAGGTTTTCACTTAGTGTTGACCATATTCTGCCTTGACTCTGTCTTAGCTCCCTGTGACACCGTAATCTCTTTTAGGACAGGTGTATCTGTTCCCCCATGCCTTCTGACCTTGGAGTGTGCATACTCAATGTATTGATCACGATCATGGAATGGAATTGAGTCCTGTATAAGTAGATGCTCTGAACATTCCTTTCTCCTATTTGATTGTAGCAATTGGTGTGGTTTGCAGAGTGGGAATGGATGTTGGTTCCCTGGATCGAGGATGATGAGGTGACCTAACTTTCCAGGTCAGACAGGAATTGTTCAGGGACTTCTAGCCAATTGATTTCAAATCCTACTCTTGGAATTTTATATTCTTTTGTCTTTGGTTGATAGCTGCCTACCTCCAGTATCCTTCTGACATTATGTCACCTTTCAACTTCCTAAGTTTTAGAGAAATAAAATGTAATTACTATTTTTCTGTAAACTAAAACACTGGTCTGAGACCCAAGGACCTTAGTGTGTAATGCTCTCTGGAGCCCCCTGGTGGCCATATGCTTCCTGCGCAGTTTGTCATTGGTAGCTGTAATTAAGACTGCAGCAACTCTGGGCTGGAATGGTCTTCATTCCTGTCTTTCACTGTGGCTCAGAGTAGAAGGATAGTATCCCTGCCAGCTACTCTTCCAGCCCATAGTTCAACATAGACAGAGCTGGGAACACACTGTCTCCCAGGGCAACTCATTCTAGTGTCAGTCAGCTCTCTGCAGTTGTTCTTTTTCTTCCAGCAAGCATGCATTTGAATGCCTACTGTAGGTCAGGCCTTTGGAGATACAAAGATAAATAGAACATGGTCCCTTCCCTTGAGGAACACACAGTCTCGTGGGGGAGAAAAGTAAGTAGCCAAACTACAGATAAATGAGATGAGAGCTATAGGTGTGCAGAGTTCATAGAAAGTTCCTTCTTGTTATTAGGCAGTTAACTTCTGCAAAGCAACATATTATATGTCCAGCAAATAGGAATTAGAATCTTTAGTGTGCTCTCATGCTGGTTTTGGGAATCAGCAAATAAACAGGAACCTTATACTCACTGAAAATAGGGGAACAGTCTCACTAGCTGTGAGACAGTGAATTCTGCAGTAAAAGGATGGACTCTGGAAACACGAGGGAGGGAGTGATTCCTGTTGCATTTATACAAGGGATCTCAGAGGAACCTCCGTTTTTTAATGAGCATTTCAGGACCTTAGTCCTGAAAGCCTTTAATTGATATATGAAATAGTTCCCTTGTACTCAGAAGATAAAAGTGTTAAAGACAAATACCTTAAGTAGTACAGATATTTGGTGACATATCAAAACTACCATTTGTAGAGCTTTCATTGTCTACCAGGAACTATGCTAAGTGCTTTTTTACTTGCAATATTTTGTTTACTCTGCATGATAACTCCAGGAGATTACTAGTACTTCATCCTTCATTTCATAGATAAGAAAACTGAGGCTCAGAAAGATTCAGTAGATTGCTTTGGGTCACAAATGTATGGCTATTAAGTGGCATATCCAGGATTGAGACCCGGGTCTGTTATTCTCCAAACCTGGTGAATGGGAGCTTACCTCTGAAACCATTTCTGAGTGATGTGTATAATCCTCTCCTTTTACTGGTAGAGAACTTTGTGCCAGAGAGAGAACACCTGCCTTGAGTCACGCAGCAAGTTACTAACTGAGGTGGTTTGGAAACTAGGTTTCCTACCCTCAGCCACGGATGGGCCCATCCCTCTTGCCGCTGGCAGCCTCTCAGCATTTTAGACCAAGGCTGGCGGTGCCCTGGCTGTTTGCTGATCATTCAATCTGCTCCTTTCCCAGGAGGTCAGCTCACCGCTCCCAGATGTGCTGAGTGCCACAGAGCCCCTGAGCCTGGCCCAGAGGGAGGTGCAGCGCCAGTCCACTCTGCAGCTGCTGCGCAAAGTCCTGCAGATTCCTGAGAACGAGTCTGAGCTGGCTGAGGTCTTCGCCTTGATTCACGAACTCAACAGCTCTCGACTCATTCTGTCCAACGTGAGTGAAGAGACGGTCACCATCGAGCAGACCTCTTGGTCGAATTATTATGAGTCTCCGTCCACGCAGTGCCTACTCTGTAGCAGCCCATTATTCAAAGGGGGACAAAAGTAAGCACCCCTTTCAGATTTACCCTGTCCCTAGCTGCCATATCTTACTTGGCCCATCTTGCCCCTTTTTCCAAACTTCTGTAAAGCTATATCCTTTGAAGGTGTTATTCTCTGCTTCTCTTAGGTTTCCTTTGCTTTTTCAATCGCCTAAAGTAAAATCATAGTGATTAGTAATGATCCATTATTTCTATTGAAAATGTCTGAAAGTTGTTGTCACCAAGTTAGGATTTCATTTACATCTGGACTGCCCGGCACAGTGCTTGGATTTGGGAGTTCAGGGCGATTGGTTAAAGTAGGTAATGAATCCAGAGTAGTATTAACTTAAGGGGTGATTCCACAGACCACATGCCACCAGAGCAGACACCCACCTAGAAAACCTTGGAACACGAGCTCCAGCATCTTCATTTGCCTACTTCATTAAAATCTTGAGAACTTTGCCGTTGATCACTGAGCCCTGGAACTGCATAAGTTGATTTCCTTTATGTTTTTCTGTCGGTGATGTTTTGGTACTAGCTCCCTGGCCGGGCCCCAGGAGTGCTGGCTGCTGACAGCCAGCCGGCTACAGGTGGTGACTGCCCAGGTGAAGATGTGTCTGAACCCTCATTGTCTGGCCCTGCACAGCTTCACGGACATCTATGCAGGTGGGTGTCATTGTCTGGCCCTGCACAGCTTCACGGACATCTATGCAGGTGGTATCAGCCTTTGTTCCTTCAACGGGCCCCAAAACAGGCTTGGGAACAGCCTCTGTTGGTCAGACCTCTGACTCTTTGAGCACTGCACCTTCCCTCAGATGTGGCTTCTGAGAAAGAGGGGATTTTTTCTCGTGGATGTCTTGGTGCCAGAATATTACTTCTGGGCTCTTATATTAGGGCTCTTGTATCTTGGATCTTTAGACAAAGTTAATTTTAATTTTTAAATAACAGATCTTCATTGTGGAAAAAAATAGAAAATGCTGACAGGTACAAAGAAGAAAATAAAAGGGAATATGGGATTTATGGGTTTATGGTTTTTCTTTCAGCAAAAGTGGGGTCGTGCCAGATATTGTTTTGGGATATTCTTATTTTTTTTATGTTTATTTTCAGAGAGAGAAAGCGTGAGCCTGAGTGGGGGAGGTGAAAGAATCCCAAGCAAGCTTCACACAGGGCTTGATCTCATGACCATGAGATTGTGACATGAACCAAAATCAAGAGTTAGATGCTTGGGGCGCCTGCGTGGCTCAGTCGGTAGAGCGTCTGACTTCGGCTCGGGTCATGATCTCATGGCTCGTGACTTCGAGCCCCGCGTCGGGCTCTGTGCTGACAGCTCAGAGCCTGGAGCCTGCTTCCGATTCTGTGTCTCCCTCTCTCTGCCCCTAACCCACTCGCATTCTGTCTCTGTCTCTCTCAAAAATAATTAAAAACATTAAAAAACAAATTTTTTAAAAAAGAGTTAGATGCTTAACCGACTGAGCCACCCCCATGCCCCGGAATATTCTTTTTAAGTTTGGCAGTGTACCATGGGCATCTTCCTGTGCCAGCAAGTGGGGAAATACATGACCATAATTAGAGAGTGTATGGGACTCCATTTTAGAATTCTCTTTATAATTAACTCTTTGTGTATAGCCTTAATTATTTCCTTTGGACAAGTGCTCAAAACGGAATTGCTGCGTGTTCACCCATTCTCCCTGTATGTTCATCAGCATCAGACATTTGTGGAACATTCACCATGTACCACCGTTGTAAGAATTTGGAATTTGAATTTCATACGTACACTTGAGTGCCAAAGATTAGAGTATTTGTGATTTATTCTTGTCTTCAGAGCCTTACACTGCCTTGTTTTGTATTCACGCTCTCAATGTCTTGTATTGCCCAACTGAGTTTGTATTATTTTATGCTTTTGCCAGTAGATAATGAGAGTGCCATTTCCCTGCAGTCTATCTGGGTCAGTAGTACCTAGGATTATATATATTTTTGATTTTAGCTTTAATTTTAAATTTACATCAACAATAACATTTACTTCATTGTCGTACAGTCACATGAGTTCTGACAGGTGCACCGAGTTGTGTACCTGCCACCACAATCTGTATATAGGACAGTTCCATGGCCTAAAACATTCCTCCTGTGTGTAATCACCCCTGACCTCTAGCAGCCATCTGATCTCTTCATTCCTATAGCTCCATCTTTCTAGAATGTCATTTAATCCAATCATAGTATGTAGTACTTTTTTTTTTTTTTTCAACGTTTATTTATTTTTGGGACAGAGAGAGACAGAGCATGAACGGGAGACGGTCAGAGAGAGTGGGAGACTCAGAATCGGAAACAGGCTCCAGGCTCTGAGCCATCAGCCCAGAGCCTGACGCGGGGCTTGAACTCACGGACTGCGAGATGGTGACCTGGCTGAAGTCGGACGCTTAACCGACTGCGCCACCCAGGCGCCCCTGTAGTACTTTTTAAAAATATGTTTTAAAGATTAAAATTCTTTTGAGTGTGGTTGATACACAATGTATGCAGTATTTTAAGTGAGTCTGGCTTCTTTCGTTAAACATCATGCCTTTGAAAGTCATCCACGTTGTTGCATGTATCAGCAGTTTGTTCCTCCTTCTTGTTGAGTAGTTTTGCATTGTGTGAAGTACCACAGTTAGTTTATCTGTTCACTTTTTGAAGGACATTTGTGTTGTTACCAGTTTTGGGCACTTTTGAATAGAGCTGCTGTGAACACTCATGTACGGGCTTTTGTGTAAACACAAATTTCCATCTTTTGGATGAATACCGAGGAGTCAGACTGCTGGGCCATATGCTAAGTGTATCTTTATTTTTGTAAAGGAATTGCCAAACTGTTTACTTAAATGTTTGTACCATTTTGCATTATGTCCAACAGGGAATGAGAGGGTTTTTTTGTTCTTGTTTTCCTTAGCCATTCTGATGGCTGTGTGTAGTGGTATTTCTTCGTGGTTTTAATTTGTGTCTCCTCAATGACTAGTGATGTTGAGCATCTTTTCATGGGTTTATTTGCCATCCACATGTCGTCTTTGGTGAAGTATCTGTTCCATCTTTGGTCTGTTGGAGTAGATTGTTTTCTTACTGTTAAATTCTTTATAATTCTGGACCCATAAGTCCTTTGTCAGATAAGTGATTTACAAGTGTTTTCTCATGATTTTTGGCTTGATTTTTCATTCTTTTAAAGAAATCATCCACAGAGCAGAAGTTCTTAATTATGACAAAGACTACTTCATCAGTTGTTTCTTTTAGGGATTATGCTTTTCGCAGTCTACGGTCTCTCTACGTCGGTGAAGACCATATATATTTTTCTGTGTTTTCTTCTAATTTTTATAAGTTTATGGGTTACATTTAAGTTTGTAATTCATTTTGAGTTAATTTTTATATAAAGTGTGAGTATAACGTGTGAGGCCCAGATTGAGTTCTTTCTTTCTTTTTTTTTTTTTTTTTTGCTTGTGGACATCCAGTTGTACCACCATTTGTTGGAAGATAGTCTTTTCTCCATTGAATTGCCTTTGCTTCTTTGTTGAAAAACAGTTGATCATATGTGCGGGTTTATTTCTGTTCTCTGTTCTCTGTTCTCTTTCGTTGTTTTATGTTGTCTGTCCTTTTGCCAATACCACACTGGTCTTGATTACTACAGCTGGATAGTAGGTCTTAAAATCAGTTAGTGTGAGTCCTCCAACCTTGTTCTTCCTAGTTGTTTTGGCTATTTTAGTTCCTTTGCATTTCCTTTTTTTTCTTTTTTTTTTTAATTATTTTTTTAATTTTTATTTTGAGAGAGAGCGCGTGCCAGTTGGAGAGGGGCAGAGGGAGGGAGAATTCCAAGCAGGCTCCGCACTGTCAGCACAGAGCTCTGGGCTCAAACCCACTTACCATGAGATCATGACCTGAGCCGAAATGAAGAGTTGGACACTCAACAGACTGAGCCACCCAGGTGCCCCTCCTTTGCATTTCCATGTAAATTTTAGAATCAGCTTCTCAGTATCTGCAGAGTCCTACTGGAATTTTAATTGGCATTACATTGAATCTGTAGATCAATTTGAAAGTTTAACACGCTTAAAAATATTGAGTCTTCCAATCCGTAAACATGTCAGTCTGTCTTATTAGGGTTGCTTTTATTTCTTTCATCAGTGTTTCATAGTTTTCAGCATGTAGATCCTGCACATATTTTGTTAAGTATTTCATTTTGTTCAATTCTAAATGACATGGTTTTAATTTCTGACTGTTCAGTGTTAGTGTAGAAATACCGTTGGGTTTTGTCTATTGAGTTTTTACCCAGTGACCTTGCTAAATTTCCTTACCAGCTTTAGGAACTTTTTGCAGATTGGTATTATAATTTTTTGAAGTTTTGCCAATTTGATAGGTAAAAACTGGTGTATCATTTCCTAATTTGTTGCATTTCTTTGATTCTTAAGAGGATTCTATGTTGTTTTTTCTTAAATCTCTTTTGTGAATTTCTTTTGTTTCCATCCTTCATTTGAATATTTTGTTGTTGACAGAGTTATTCCCCAGTTTATCAGTTGTCTTTTAATTGTGGTTAAATTTGTGGTTTTTTGGGTTTTGTTTTGTTTTGGGACACAAAGGTGTTTTTTTGTTTTTTGTTGTTTTTTTCTTTTTTTAATTTTTATGTAACCAGATTTGGTATTCTCCTTAATGGATTCAGCCTTTGGTATCATGCTCGGAAAAGCCTTCCCCACTCCTTTATACCCTTCTGTAATGAGAACACATATTCTAGAACTTGCTTTTGTGCAAATTTATGCTTTATGTTTTGTGCAAATATAAAATCACCCTCTTTTATTTGTCTTCAATTGATTGTATTTAAATTTTTCTGAGTCTTTCATCTTCGGATTTTGTTAGGGGTGATTTTATAGTTTTTGTTATATCCCTGGGCTAGAGGGTACTCCTGGCCTTCCCCCACAGTGTGGCTGTTGAGAAGTAGAGGAAGGGCAGCCCCGCTGGTAATGAAGACTGAGCTGGGCCACAGGGACGGGTTTCTGTTTTTATGAAAACATTCTCTACACATTTAATTGCGTGCTTTTTTCATTTAACTGTGTATTACGGACGGCTCCCATGTCAGAGCATTTAGGTTTACCTTATTCCTTCTAATGCATAATTTTCTATCTGAGAAATGTACCATAATTAATTTAGCTCTTACGCTATTGCTGGACATTTAGTTTGTTTCTAATTTTTTGCCATTGTAGATGTTTTACCATGAGTTTCTGTGTTGCTTCTTTTTAACTCTGCAGGTCTCTTTAATGTGGGGAACAAGCTACTAGTGAGCCTGGACTTGCTCTTTGCAATCCGAAACCAGATCAAGTTGGGGGAGGACCCCAGAGTGTCCATCAGCACTGTTCTGAAGTCAGTGCAGGAGCAGACAGGTACAGGTTGTTGTTCTCCCTTTTCCGTGCTAGTTCTGAGTTCCCTGGGAACTTTCAGCGCTGGGCTTCGGTTGAAAGAATCATCTTGCAGAAGAATCTGATAGTTCGGAAAGGAGACATTCTTGACTTCCCTGGTACTCTCCTCCTTTTGAGTTTTACGAAGGCCAAATTAACTTTGGGAAGAATGAGTCTTTCCATCCAGCCAGGGACCCCCAGCACGAGGTTAAACTGACTCTTTAGAAGTTCATCCTCTGATCATATGGGTAGACAAGGCCTCACTGCATGTTGATCAGACTCACTCTGAGTACATAGCTTCTGGAGGTCTGCTACCGGTCCCAGGGCTCATGTTGAGACCTGAGGGTGGTGACCACCCTCCTTATTATTAGCAATTATTTTCTCCCTTGCTTTCCTTCTCTCTGTTGGTGCTTTTCCCTTCCTATCCCTGCAGGTTTCCGTTCCTTGCACCTTGCTTGCTAGGAGGTCATATAGAGTACTGCAGAGGTTCTGGGGTCAAACAGGCTTGTGTTTGAGTCTTGGCACTGCAGCTTAGTGGCAGTGTATTTTTGAGCAAGTTACTCTCTGTGCCTCAGTTTCTCCAGTTGTAAAATGAGGATGAGAATAGCTTCTATTTCATAAAGATGTGAGAGTTAAATGAGTAACGTATTTGAAGTTGTTTGCACTGTGTTTAGTGCCTAGTAGGTACTTAGTGCGAGGTGGTTACAACTCTGATTGGAATTGCCCTTTGGGGTTGCCACCCGAGCCCTTAGGGCCAGGGTGCTTGACCCTGGGGTGTTCTTAGGGGAGAAGCAGTCTTGCAGAGTTGCTGTTCTTGCTGGCCATTGGCTCGTGCCCAGTGGCCTCACGGTCTTTTGCTGTGACTTCTCAGAACTCTTGCGCTCCTTGCAGAAAAGACCCTGACCTTGGAGGAGCTGAACCAGCTGCAGGAGCTGCTGTGCAATGGCTATTGGGCTTTCGAGTGCCTCACTGTCCGAGACTACAATGACATGATCTGTGGCATCTGTGGTGTGGCTCCCAAAGTGGAAATGGCCCAGAGGAATGAAGAAAATGTGTTGGCACTGAAGAGCGTGGAAGTAAGTATCTCCTGCCGCCTTTAGAACTGTCCTCACACTTCGGCAGCCACCTTCCTTCATGCTGTCCCAGGAACAGATGGCTCCAGTCCTGCCTGAGAGAGGGGAGTGGCTTTTTTATCTAAGGAAGGCTGGATGGAAGTTATGGCATTTGTTACTTGCCAACAAATTTATTAAACATGAACCAGGTACACTTTTTAGACACTTGGGACATGGCAGTAAAAAACCTATAAAGTTCCTGTGCTCATGGGGCTCGAATCCTGCTTTGGGAATGTGGGAAATCCCCAAATTTGAGAACTTAACAGGAAACAAACATTGTTAATAATTGTATGTTATATCAGTGTCTATATTATATGTAGTAAGTAGTAATTAAAAGTAGCATAGTGACAGTAAAGCAGGTGAGGAGAAGAGAGCAGTTTGGTGGAGAGCGGGATTCCTGTTTTCTAGAGGGTAGTAGGGGGAGGCGTCTCTGATATGGTGGCATTTGAGGAGAGATCTGAAGCCCACGTAGCTCTCAGGGGAGGAATATTCCAGGCAGAG